TCAAGTGTATGCTGGGCAGAATTGAGTGGCTTGAGCCACTCCCAGAGTGACTGTGGGAGCCCAGGACACTTCACAGCAGTCCAGGAGGAGGTCCCCCAGCTTAGCTACCTGCCAGCCAGTTCTGCATCCTGTGTACAGCTCCCTCATGTAAACGCAGATGCCAGCGTCGTCCTCACCTCTCCTTAGTTAACTATTCCCCTTCCTAAACCAGCCTTCTGAAAGTCTAGGACAGATAAATAACTTTTAAATGTATCTTTAACTATTATCTTACTATGTTAGACAAAACACCCAAACAAACAATGGAAGGGAGTTTCTGGGTAGTACACATCTTTGCTGGCATGTGCCCAGTGTGTAGCTCCACTGGCGTGGTGATCTTTAGGAGACCCAAGGGCTGTGAGGCAGGAGCCGGAGGACCAGTTTAGAGGCAGGCTGGGGTGGAATTGGGTGGTGGAGTACTCGCTGGCATGCACACGGCCTTGGGTTCAGTCCCCAGCACCAAACAAACAAAATTTTATATAATTTAATGTTCCTTCTGACATATTTGGAGAGCCTTTTAATGTTCGAAGGACTGAGTTTTAATTATAAGTAAAAACAGTTGTTTGCTTTTGAAAGAAACATTTGGGTTGTTTTTTTTTTTGTTTTTTGTTTTTTTTGTTGTTGTTGTTGTTTTTTTGTAGCAGGAATCAAAACTCACAACCTCACACTTGCCAGGCAGGTGCTGTGCCACGAGTTATAGCTCTAGCCCTGATTTTTTTTAATAGTTAAATTTTTCAGATTATGGGTTTAAAAATAAACTTGCTGCCTGGGGTTATGGCTTTCTTTCTGCATCCTGGCCTTTGGACTAGAAAAGTGAACCCAACCCTGATTTCTAAGATAATGTGAGCTTTCTGTGAAAGATAATCTGGAACACACCCAGGCTGCTGTCCCAGGTGTACAGCCACAGTGCTGTTATCCACAAACTGCTTCTGCGAGGACAGGAATTAAGTGGACTAAGAAACCCGGGCAGAGAAACACTGGAAAATGGAATAATTATTAAATATTGAAACCTACTCCATGTTTGTTGGACTTTGGGATTTCATAGCGTAGACATTGATGGACTGTTTTACTCATCTCTTCTAATTATGTTTGTGTCAAATATCCCTTGCTTATCCTGTTTTTTAATTTAAGGATAAAGTCCTTAAGGATAAGAAACAATTCATGGTTTCCCCTCCTCCGTGACTGTTCCTTTGTTTTTGGAGACAGGGTGTAGCTGTCACAGCAGTCCTCCTGCCTCAGCTTCCCAAGTGCTAGGATTACCGGTGTGTGCCACCATGTCCAGCTATTTTATTTTTTTGAGTCAGGGTCTCACTATGCAATTCAGGTTGGCCTTAAACTTGTGGAGATTCTCCTGCTTCAACCACTGACTGTTGGGACTACAGGTATGTGCCACCACACCTGGCTCTTGGCAACTTTAATAAGATCGGACAGATTTTTTTTTTTAAAACTCTGAAAATGTGCTGGTATGTCCATGATTCCCAGTCCATTTTTAACATCCTTAACGTAGTCTCCTGGCTGCTCTTGGTACCAGGTGTTTAGTTTTAGGTTTGCTTGTGAAAATAAGCAGCAGGAACCACTGGTGCAGTTTCTGTTTGCACCTTCTAGTGGTATTTCGTGCCTGCCTGGCCATCAGGTAATAACCAACCCTGGGGAGGATTCTGGGGTTGGCTGTAAGTTTGCTCAAAATAAACACTTGAGAGGAGAAGGCTGGTTCCAGGAATGGTCAAGTGGCATTCTTTGAAGGCCTTTGGGGTTTTGTGTCCCCAGGGAGGGCTAATAAACAGGCTGTGTGAAGGGCTGTAGAGAAAGCCCAACCACTGCTCTTTCTCTTGGCGGAAGGCTAGGCAGCTGCTCACCGCTGCAGGCAGGAGCCTCCTGGCCTGGGCTCTGGTGACTTCTCCTTTTCAGGTGCCTGTGGTTGATATTTACAGAAGCCAAACAGCCTTCGTCACCAAGGTTACCGTTTACCACATGACCTTCAGGGGAGAAAAGGACGAGTAATCCTCTGGACATCTAAATGACAAATATGCAGAGTATTCCAGGCCAGGTCCAGGGAAATGTACTGGAAAGAAAGACACGCCAGCCCTGTGGCCCACGCCTGGTATCCCAGCCACTCTACAGGGTAGCTGAGGCCAGCCTGGGCAACTCAGTACCACCTCAGCTCAGTAAACAGAAAAAGAGTGGCAGAGGAAGATGCTGCCCACAGGTAATGCCCGTGTGCTGGGAGTCTGTGGCAGAAGGATCCAGCCTGGAGCCCAGCATGCACAGTTTATCGACTTAGAGTCTGTCAAGAAATAAAAAAAGAGCATAGGCCTTGGGCTCAGTCACCACAAAAGAAAAGTATAGAGAAAAAGCTACCTGGCTTGGCAAGGGCAAAATTGGCTGCCAGCTTCCACCTTTCAACAGCCCTTCATCTATCAATGGTGGCTTTAAAAACTAAGTTCTAAAAGTGCAGACTGGAAGCCCACAGCATTTCATCAGATCTTGGCTGTATTTTGTTAATCCACTTAAGCCCTTGGTGACTTCATGTGCTGGGCTTTTTGTAATCTTATAATTCATGATTAGTGGCAAACTATGCTGAGTTGCCTCTTATTTGGGGGCATTTGGTTAGAGGTGTGCAGACTGGGGTGCGGTTCAGTGACCTGGCACACCACAGGATCCTGGGTTCCATTCCCACCGCTGAAATGACGAGGAGGAGGAAGTGGAGGAGGAGGAGGAGGAGGAGGAGGAGGTGGAGGAGGAGGAGGAGGAGGAGCAGGAGGAGGAGGAGGAGCAGGAGCAGGAGCAGGAGCGGGTGGTGGTTTTTTAAGTGTGAGGCCTCCTCTCTTTCTGTGTGATTACACAAGATAGTCTGCTGAAGATGAATTAGCAGAGTTTAAAGCAGGAGCTTGGCAGCAGGGGAAGAAAAGGCGTGTTGGGGAAACGCAGAGTTGAGTTAGGATGCTAGCTGGACTCTTAAGAGCGGTAGGTCCTCGCAGCAGTGACTTCACTTCTGCCCTGTTGGTAAAATGGACATAGTGTCCACTGCCTGCCACTCTCATGAGGCCAGCTGTGGTTTCTAAGTGCACGCACTGCCAGCTGTGCCCTGGGTGCCGTTCAGGTTTAGGGTTCTGCTTCACTCTGCCCCTTTCTCTGGACAGAAGCCAAATGGGGGAGGCTGCGGCTTGGGTGGAAGCGGAAGTCGTACTCAGCCCACAGCCGTTAACTAGGTCACTGGAAAGAGCATCTATGTGTGGGTTCCGTGGGCAGGTGTTCAGGGTTGTCTGTGCCCTCACGGTCACTCGGAGGAGAGGGGTCCCGGGTGGACGGGGAACACTAAGCAGGTTTCTTTCTGCGGAGGTTGGTCAGCCTGTGGAGCAGGATCAGTTCCACGTCCTTCGCCCCATCTTGAAGTAGTTTGCAGATGACCCCGAGAAATACTTGGATGATATTTGAAATAGTCTTTTGTTGATTATTAAGCCAGAGAAGAAGGCCTTCTTTTCAGTTTCTCATTTTTAAAACTTGTGGTGAAATATATGTACTACAAAGTGTAAATGTTTTTGCGTGTGTGCCCCCATCTCTCTGCAGGGGCTGGGGTCAGAGCCAGGGCCTTGCCGAGCTAGGAAGTGGGTTACCAGCAAGCCCTGTGCTTGCCATCTGACTGTCTTGAGCCTGCCCTCCTGCAGTGTTACCTACATCTGTTCACAGGACCGTTTGGCCACACTGCTGTCCATTAAGCAGAAACTGTTCATTTTTCCAACTCGGACCAGAGCTCAGAGCCTTCAACATTAGCTCCCCCGTCCCCTCCCGCAGCACCACAGATGAACTTGGTGCCCCAGGCGCCTCACATAAGGGAAATCAGATAGTGTGTTCATTTGATGACTCTACTCCATGCTTTTCTCTTTAAACTCCATTTTGTGCTTTCTGTTACTCATTGGCAGACATTATTCTTTTCTCTAAACTCATGATTTTCTCTGAGATTTGTTTATAAATGTACATGTCACCTTTTTGTTTTTTATGTATTTATTTTTGTTTGTTTTTGAGACAGGGTCTCACCTTATAGTGCAGGCTGGCCTTGAATTGACTATGTAGCCCAGGCTGGCCTGGAACTCACTGTAACCCTCCTGCCTCAGCCTCCCGAGTCCTGGGATTACAGGCATGTACCACCATGCCCAGCTGTACACTACCTTTCTAGCTTCTCTTTATGACCTTTGCCACCTTATTGAGGGAAACTGTCACCAGAAGTGATTTAAATGTTTATTTTCTTATGTAGAGACAAGGCCTCATTATGTTGCCTAGGCTAGTCTCCAACTTCTGGGTGTGAATTATTCTGAAGCAGGTGGAACTACAGGCATGCACCACCATACCTAGCTCCCAACTGTTTATTTTTAGAAATAGCTCTTCACAAGATGAGGATTTTTAGAAATACTGTACTGGGGATTGAACCCAGCATCTTTACACGAACCTGCATCTCCAGCCCTTTGTTAATTTTTTGGGACAGAATCTCAGTAAGACACTGGATTGCCCAGTCTGGACTCAAATTGCAAATCTCCTGCTTAGCTTTCCAAGGTGCTGGGATTACAGAGGGGCACTGCTATGTCCAGCTTGGATCAGGATTTTAGATGATTAGAAAGGTAGGGAGTGTAGCTCAGTAGTAATGCATGTTGGATGGTGTGATTGAAGCTCTGGGTTCAGCCACTGCAAAAAAAAAAAAAAAATTAAAAAAGACTATACACTAAGTACACTAGATTATACCTTTATCTTGTGCATAGGGAAAACAAATCTCAAATAAAAATACGTTCAGTTTCCCATACCTGTATATGGATGGAGGGATGGATGGACGGATGAACAGCAAGTTCTGCCCTCATCCCCTGCCACTTCTGCTCCCCTAGAGAAAGCCAGGGGTGCATCTGTCTGAGCAGCAGGGAGGGCAGCCAGCTGACAGGGCTTGAGAACCCAACGTAACAGTTGGCCTGTCTTTTCAGGTGGTACACTTTGAAATCCAAGCCAGGAAAGAAAGAAAAGCCCCGCGGGGAAATAGAGGTGGACATCCAGTTCATGAGGAACAACATGACGGCCAGCATGTTTGACTTGTCCGTGAAGGACAAGTCCCGCAACCCGTTTGGAAAGCTGAAGGACAAGATCAAGGGAAAGAACAAGGATGGCGCGTTGGACACAGCGTCAGCCATCGTCCCCAGCTCAACACTCTCAGTTGACAGTGACGATGAGTCTTTCTCAAAAGACAAGAAAAAGAAATCAAAGGTCAAGACCTTGTTTTCCAAGTCGAATTTGCAGAAAACGCCACTTTCCCAGTCCATGTCTGTCCTGCCGACTTCAAAGCCAGACAAAGTGGTGCTCCAGCCAGGAGACTTCCGGTCCTCGTGGGGGGACGACGACAAGGATGAGTCCTCCTCCTCTGCCTCGGACAGTGAGTGCTGACCACCTCTTCATGTGGCTGCTCTTCCTCAACTTACCCTGCCATACTCTCATACTCTCATAAGTGAGAGATGACAGACAGGCCTTTAGAGAAAGATTTTAACTCTGCTGCAGAGGTGGTGGTGGTGCTGGTGGGCATAGTGATCTTGGCTTGGATGCCTTCTGTACCTCTGATCCCTTGGTTTCCAAGATGCCCTTTCTGAGGTGTCTGGCTATGGGACTGATGTGCATTAGTATAAGGATTCAAGCTAAAAAAAATAAGTGCATCTAAGTGTCTCTTTGTCTCTGTCTGTCTCGGATAAAGCCATAGAACCTTGTTGTAACTCTGATACTCATCAGTTTGAGTTCCGTTTATTGATCTTCAGTGATATTCCTTAGCTCATGGGTATGCCCCTAATGGACGCTAAGGAACCCAGTTCCCTTAACCCTGAATTGTCTATTCTGAAATTTATCTCCTCTTTATTTGTGTGTGTGTTTGCGTGTGATATCTGGGATGAACCCAGAGCCCTCACACTTGAGCTACATCCACAGTGCTTTGTTTTAATTTTTTCAGAGTCTCACTAAGTTGCCCAAGTGGGACTCAAACGTCTGATCCTCCTGTCTCAGCCTTCCAAGTGGGGGGTAACAGCCACCCCGGCTTGAGCTTCAGTCTCAGTGGTCAGATCTGTATCTCTTAGTGCCAGGTTTCTGTTGCTGTATCATGGGTTTCATGCAGGATTCCCCAGCCTCAGCGCTGTTGAGCGTGGCCAGACTCTTCCTTGCCGTGGGGACCGTCCTGTGTATTGCAGGAGCTTGGCCACACTCCTGAGCTCTACCTGATAGGGGCCAGCAGCACCCTCCCCTCAGCTGGGAAGATTGTTGACAAATGACCCTGTCCCTGCCTGAAAACTGTGTGTTCTCTGCCTCCTCTCTTCCTTTGCTTTGCCCTTCCTCCCTTCCCTTCCTTTCTGTCCCCTCCTTTCTGGCGCCAGGGCTGGGATCCAGGGCTTGGGGGAAGCAAGGCTAGTGCTGTAGCTCGGAGCCTCACTCCAGCCTCCCAGTTTAACTCTCCTCTTTCTGCTCTTTGCTTTTTCTTCCTAGTTGCATCCCACAGGAGAACAGCAAGTGCAGACGCCAAGCAGCTCAACCAGATCAACTTCAGCCTCCCCAGGAAGGAAGGCCTCTCCTTTCTTGGGGGCCTGCGGGCCAAGACCGACAGCCTTTCCCGCTCTAACGTCTGCATCAATGGGAACCACGTGTATGTGGAGCAGCCTGAGCCCCGGAGTGAGACCAAAGACAGCAGCCCGGCCTCGTCCCCCTCGCCCCTGGGCTTCAGGAAGAAGCCTGCCTTCTCCTCCACCGAAAACCTGGCTGGCAAGCCTTGGAAGGAGCCAGGGGAGGGGGGCAGCCTGTCTGCTGACGCCTCCACCAAGGACTCACTGAAGTCCATGACCCTGCCGTCCTACCGACCCCTGGCCAGCGGTGACACTTGGGAAGGCACCACACCAGGGAACTCAGAGGCTGCAAGAGAAACCAAGGACAGCAAGAAGCAGGAGGGCAAGAAGTCTGCCTTGCTTTCTCTGGTGACGGGAAAGAAGGAGGTGGCCAAGGGCAGCGATCGTGAGCACACAGCGAGTGTCCCAGGGTGGGAGAAGGAAGGCGTGACATCAGAAGCCCCACCGCAGGAAGAAGTCCTGCAGAGAGGCACTGAGAGAGACACCGCAACCGATGCCTCCCACGGGGGTCATTCTCTGAATCCCTTTGAAGATGTGCAGATTTCAGAACCAAAAGCTGGACCTGAGCCCAAGTCTGAACCAAAGCCGCCTGCTCCTTCTGTGAGGCCTACGCAGACCAAAGCTGTCAAGCCTCGGTGAGTCCTGGCCCTTGTCACACAGGCCCCCCCTCCACTCAGTGTGGCCCGTGCCATGATGTTGCCACATGTGACACAGGTGTGCTAGGCTGTCACCTGTTTTAGTCCCATCCCTGCCACCTGTTGACCTGCCTGCAGAAAGGGCAGAGGTGTCCACAGCCCCAGGCCTCTGCTTGGTTTTGTCCTTCTCAGCGAGCCATCCAGATCCTGGTGAAACACAGTGGTTTGTGGCACAGTCTGAGCCTTGATCTGGGAGTGGGGTTGGGGTTGCACAGTGTGCAGAACTGTGCGTGTTCAGTGTCAGTTTCAGCCTTTGGGGAAGGCGCTGTCTCTCTTCCTCTCAACTTGGCATCTGCTGACACTGGAGACCCACCTGCCTGCCTGGTTGCCTGTGCCTCTTGTCTGCATGTTTTCTCTGCCCACTTGCACCTGGAGGGCTTTTACTTTTCTGCATGATTCACATTCATACTCAACATTTCTGTGATATGGAGGGGAGGGAATTTTGTTTTGAGATTCTATTTACTTTGATCACGTGTATAAATATGCAGACACTCAGTTTCTTCCAAATCTGTCCCTGTTTCCTTGGGCTATGTCTTATAATACTTTGAACTTTAGATACTTTGTGCCCTGCAAATCAAGTGCTAGGGCTCTGTGTCAGTCACCAAAAGGAACTGTGGGCAGCTGCTTTCCCTGGATCTCCCTGTTCCTCTTGCAGCAGGCCTTTGCGGTAGGTGTGCTCGGTGATACAAGTGTCTGTTTTAGGGGCTAGAGGTGTAGCTCAGGTAGAGTATGTACTTACAGCCTGCAAGGTCCTGGGTTCCTTTAGCTTTATAAGACACCATCCCAGATTTTACAACATTCTCTCCCTTGGAGGACTTTATTTTTTTTTTACATGTTTGTCTTTCATGATGCATCTGCAACTGACCTGCAGATTTTATTTTGTGCTTTTTGCAGACTGGAAGTGTCTTCAGAGGCCCAGCCCAAAGCCAGGCTTCCTTGTTCCCCCGACTCTGCTCTGTCTCTCTCAGCTCTTGCTTCTGGTTCTGGTCAGGCCCCTGGCCCTGCTGAGTCAGGGCGTGATTCCGAGCCCCAATCTTCTGAAAGTCCTTCTGTCTGCTCCTCTCTTCCCTCTCCGGTAGCAGCGCCCATTTCCACCTCCACCCCGATTGGACACTGGCCCCCCTCAGGCCAGGGCCAGGCCAGTTCTGAAGAAATGGCTTCGCTCCTCCAAGCAGACTTGCAAAAGGAGAGTTTAACGCCAGGCCTGGGTGCTGGTTCTTCTGCCCTGGGATCCCTTTACGAAGAGTCCCAGGCCCCAGTGAAAAGGACAGCAAGTCCTCCTGGGGAGAAGACCCGCGAGGTGGGCCCAGGCGAGAATGCTGGTCCCACAGAGCTAGGAAGCTCTGTCTTACAGCAGCCCGAGTTGGGACAGCCAGAAGAGGCACTTTGGGAGGCTCCCCCTCTGAAACAAGGCTGCACCCTCTCAGACAAAGAGACCCTCAAGGGGTCATCTGCGCTCTTGTTGGGCGGTGGCAGAATTACAGGCTCCAGTGGGGAGCCAGCCACGGTGGGGTCCACAGACCAGGAGGGCCAGCCTGGGCCTTCTGTGGGGAGCAGGGCAGCGTCCCTCCCAGCAGGTGAACCAGACGCCCAGTGGCAGAGGCAGGCAGAGATGAACCTGCATGGCGGCCAGGGCCAGGAGAAGGGCCGGAAGCGCGTGTCATTTTCTGAGCAGCTCTCTATGGGAGAAGTGGAGAGACCCACCAGACTGGGGATCGAGGACAGAAGTCACCCCCAGGAGCTGGCACTTGCAGGAGCCTCTGCAGGATGCACATCTGGTGCGAAGAATGCCGAGAGGGAACCCATCACTGCAGCGGTACCCACAGAGGGCAGCTGCGTGGGCTCCTTTCCCATGGGACGTTCCTCAGGAGCCCCCACAAGCAAAGCGAGCTCGGCAAGGCACACCCCACTCTTCAGATCTGAGGATGCTGATGCACTTGCAGCTCAGCTACGGGACAAGGCCTGTGATGACCAGGAAGCCTCGCTGGCCGAGCCCTTAAGCGGCTCTCCCTGCACCTCTGAGGTGATGCTTCCCCTTGCGGCTGATATGAACTTGACCCTTCCCTCCATCCCTGAGGTGGCATCAGACGATGAAAGAGTGGATCAGCCGGAGCAGGTGACGCCTGCCAAGAGCCTGTTGGACCACAAGCCTCAGGCCCCTTTGGCTCCTCCTGCGCAGGAGGCCGCTGTGCACCCCGGCAGGAGTGCGAGCCGAGACGAGGAGGAGGGATCGGAGGTGGACGGGGGTCTGGGTCGCCCTTGCTTTCCCGTACCCAGTACCCCGCTCTCTGAGACCTTTCCTGCCGCATGCTCTGTCCCTGTTGCTCCACACATTGATGCTCACCACACCAGGACAGCAGAGTCTCCAAAAAAAGCAGCTGCAGAGGGCTCCTCCAGTAGAGTTGAAAATTTTGGCAAGAAGAAGCCGCTTCTTCAGGCCTGGGTCCCACCCTCAGAGGCCCATCCAGTCTCTGCCCGGCCAGGCCCTGGAGCTGGGGCAGCCAAGCACAGGTGAGAGATGGACGATGTCCCCTCTTTGCGTCTACCTGCAGGCCTCATGGCTTTTGAGCTACACACAGGCCTTGAGGTTAGAACCTGCCTGTCCTACTTTAGGGCTGTCTCCCCACCCCGTTGTGCTGGCAGCAGGAACACAGTTGCAGTCTTCAGAGAGACAACTCAGGGGCTGGGCTGCGGCTGGCTTTGGAGCACTCTAGTGGTAGAAACACAGTACAAATACTGTGTCCCAAAGTCTCAGGAACCGGCTGAGATCCAGAACTTCCTGTCGGGATGGCGGGGTGAGCACCCTGGCCTGTTTTCTCTGAGCTTTCTTTACCCGCCGAGGCACAGGAGGCTCTGCAGAGTTCCCCAGAAGAGTCTTCAGCTGTGCTTCCCTCTAAGAATAACAGATTGTCTCTCTTCCTTATTCTTACAGTGCTAGGGATTGAACCCAGGGCCTCACACATACTGGGCAAGTGCTCTACCGCTGAGCTTTACCCCCAGCACTTAGAGGCTGTCCTTTGTGTTCTGCTGATATTCATGCCAAGGCTGAGGGTCTCGTAGCAATGTCAGGAGACCTGGCCAAGGATGAGCTTTGCTGCTTGCAGATGCTGCCTGGTTCTGTCTGCTTTCAGTTCTGCTGGCCCTGGGATGTCGCAGCATGTGTTGGGCTGGAGACATGAACATAGCTCCCGTCTCCTCCCCCGCCTTCCTCAGGCTGCCTTAGTTGAGAAAGGCTGTGTCTGAGTTCTGTGGTTACAGAAGGCCTTAAGGATCCCTTTTCCCCTTCTTTTCAGACTTCAACCTGTGAAGCCAATGAACAGCACGGCCATTAAGATTGCTAACTCCAGCTTGGGAACTGCCACCATCATCAGTGAGCACGTGACCAACGATCCCATGATAAAGGTAAGTGTCCTGAGAAGCCGGCAGATCGGCCACAGTCCTGTGAAGGACTCGTGTCTGGAATCCTTGTGGAGTGTTCCCATGGCCTCAGCTACTTAGGAGGCTGAGACAGAAAGCCTCACCATGAGTTTGAGACCAGTCTGGGCAACGTAGCCAAACTGCTTCAAAAAACAAAACAAAAAAAGTTCAAAGCACTTGCCTAGCAAGTGACAAGGCCCAAGGTCTAAGCCAGGGCAGAAGTCACCATCGTGTCCACCCTTAGGCAGCAGGCAATGCCTGTAGTTACTTGACCCTGTGTTTGCTGGCTCTGGGGTCTTCCTGCTGGATGGGTAATTACTGTTTTCCTTATAGTTATTTAGATATTGGTGAAATTTTTTGTGTCTCAAGGAACAAGATTAACACTGGTACTTTTTATTTTATGTTTAATTTTTATTTTGGGGGTCTGGAGTTGAGCTCAGAACTCTGCACACGCCGGGCAAGCGCTATACCCCTGAGCAGCAGCATCCGGAGCCCACAGAATTCTTCTTAATGAGAAGAACTTCACCCAGCTGGGCAACTCAAGTCAGACTGCTTTTTCTCATGATTCCCTTTTATCTTTAGGCAACAATGTAAAATTCTTGAATTTTAATTATTACAGAGATACCTTTTGTTTTGTCATTTTAAATAACGTCAAACATAAAAAAGTTGCAACAGTAACACAAAGGGCTCCTGTAAACCCTGCACCCCCATTCACTTGTCCCATCTTTGTCCTTGCCTCCTGCTCCCCACTGCCTGGGTATCTCATACACAGGCACACGTGGAATTTTTTTGGAAACATTTGAAAGAAAATTGTGTGCATCGTGCCCCTCCCCCACTTAACGTCCTTAATCCCTTTTTTAAAAAATCCATTTTATTCAGGGATAAAAAGAAAGAAAAAAAAGAACAACAAAATTTCAAAGCACGTCAATCAGGGACTTAATTCTTAAGAATAAAAACATTGGTCAAAATCTGTATGTAGGGTTGGCGATATAGCTTGGTGGTAGAATGCTTGTCCTGAAAATGTGAAGCTCTGAGTTCCAGCCCCAACACAGGGAAAAAAAAAAAACACCCCCAGAATACTCAATTTGTACATACTGGGGATGGTTGCAAAAGCCTGTTGTCCCAGTACTCAGGAGACTAAAGCAGAAGAATTGGAATGAATTCAGGGCTGGTGGGCTGCATAGTAAATTCAGGGCCAGCCTGGGCTACGTGTATCTCAAAAACAAAGTGAAACAAAATCTAGAAATTTATCATTTGTAGAAGACAGGGTCTCACTATGCAGTTCAAATTGGTCTTAAACTCTATGTAGCCCAGGCTGGCTCCAAACACGCAGTGATCCTCCTGCCTCAGCCTCCCAAGTTAGGGATTACAGACATGTACCGCCATGGCTTTGTCATTTCTGTAACAGTGTTTTCTCATCTGCAGCACCTTTGTCCATGTCACCAGCTGTCCCTAGTGCCCTTGCTTAGTGATTGCTGCTGCTTTTCTTGTCTAGGAGCCAATTAGAGATCACTCCTTGCATTTGGTTGTCTTGTCTTTTTCCTATATTCTGGAATAGTTCCCTTTTCTGTTTGTTCTTTCTTTCTTTCTTTCTTTCTTTCTTTCTTTCTTTCTTTCTTTATACAGGGTATTAAACCCAAGGGTTCTCTACCACTGAGCTGCATCTCTCTCTCTCTCTGTCTCTCTCTGTCTGTCTGTCTGTCTTTCTCTCTCTCTCTTTTGAGACAGGGTCTCACTGAGTCTCTAAATTTCCTGGGCTGTGATCGTCCTGTCCCAGCCTCCTGAGTGTCAGGGATGACAGCCATGTACAACCACATCTGACTAGTTTTCAGTTCTTAAGAAGTTTCACTTGTGCCGCTGTCACTTCTGAAAGCATCTTTTGTTCGGCGCCGCAGGTTGAACCTAGGGCTGAGCACAGCAAGGGCTCTCTGCATTGCGCCATGTCCTGCAGGTGTTTAGAAAGCGCTGGGCCCTGTGATTATGACTCGCTCTGCTTCAGCACGCCAGGGTACTTGGGTGAAATCTGCTGGAGGCTCAGGCTGCATCCTGAGTAACGGTAGCTAAAGGAGGCTGTGAACAGGTCACTGTCAGGTAGTGCCCCTGCCCTGTCCCCCTCTAGAACACGTTAGCAGGGTCAGTGACACGCATCATGTCACAGCCATCCTGTCACTGTGGACCTCCTACCTTTCAGCCTTGCCTAAAAATCTGCACTTCCTGTTAGTCCATGGGTGTGGCTCTCCAGCTCCTGTGTCTTGGTTACAAGTGTTAGCAGCAGTTCTATCTGCTGGGAGTTAACAGAATTTTCCAGAAAACGGGGCAGAAGGACAGCAGGAACGTGACAGTAATGGAAACCAGCATCCCCTCGCAGGATTTGTCCCTCTGCCTTCTCCAATGGAAGGCTTTGTGGCTCTCTTGGGTTTTCTGTTTCTTTGGAAAAAATATAAACACCTCTTTTGGGGGGAGTTTCGGAGACCCTTGAACCCCTTCTGTTTTCTCTTTGAAGCTCATGTAATAAGAGCCTTGTCTCCTGGAACTGATTAAGAGAATAACTTGGAGGGGCTGGGGATTTAGCTCAGCAGCATAGGCGCCTGCCTTGTAAGCAGGCAGTCGTTAGTTCGATCCCCGGTACCAATAAAAAGGAAAAAGACCAAAAAAAAAAAAAAAGAATAACTTGCTCAAAACAAAGACACCCTATTCTGTCTCGGTAAGTAAACCCACTGTGGCCCCTCTCCTGGCTGCTATGGGTCTCTTGGTCCTGGATCTTCCCAGTCACCACTATGAGTAAGCGTGGAAAGTTCCCAGAGACTCTGCTATGGACCTGCTGTACAATAATGTTTTTGTACTGTGCATGAAACTGTACTTACAAAAATAAGTGCTCTTTGGAATGCTGTGTAATAAGAGGTTAGGGAAAGAGACTGCATAGCTAAAGTGATGCACGTTGGCCTGATGGTCACCAGTGAAATCTTTCCCCGGCGGCTATTATTTTAGGACCTCAATTCTGCATGGATCATTTATAAGTAGGAGTGCATTATTTACTCAGGTGGCTTGAACACTTAATGTTTTAAAATAGTACAGCCAACTAGACTCAAAATCTTCTGTTACATGGAAACATTTGACCCACATTTTAAATGTTTGTCATTGCTACTATGAAAAGGAAAAGTCCAGTGTAAAAATCCTGGTCAGCCGGCTGTGGTGACACACGCCTGTAATTCTAAAACCAGGGAGGCCGAGATAGGAGGATTGCTGCAAATTCAAGGCCAGCCTAGGCTACCTAGTAAATTCAAGGCTGGCTGGAAGTACACAGCAGGACCCTGTCTCAAATCAACAACAACAACAACAGCAAAGCTGGACGTGGTCGCACACGCCTGTAATTGCTGGATGTGGGAGGCCAAGGCAGGAGGATCCCCGTGAGTTCAAGGTCAGTTTGGGCTACATAGTGAGTTTAAAGCTAGCCTGAACTGTCTCAAAACAAAACAAACAGAAAATCCTGGTAGGAAACCTGTGCTGGTGGGTACCCTTTTTTCTTGCATTCATCGGTATTTTCTCTGTGCTATTTCCTTTCTGTGTCCTTTGATTACTTTCTGTAAGGCTGAATTATTGTACGTTTTAATCATACCATGCAGATCTAATGATTTCAAAATCCATATATATTATTTCCCCCTTGATTATAGAATGCAAGTTGAGTGTCTGCTTGACATTTGTATGAAATACTTTTAAGTAAGAATGTGTCTTCAATTGAAGTATTTCTCATAAGCAAATATTTAGAGATATCACCAAATATTTAGGCTTATACATTTTTGTTTCACTTTCATTTTAGATTTTTTGGTGATACTCAGGATTGAACCCGGGGCCTTGGCACTGAACTACAATCCCAATCATTATAGTATTATTATTTCTTTTTTAATTTTGAGACAGTGGTGTTAGGAGGCTAAGTTGCCCATGCTGGGCTTTAACTTGCAGTCTTCCTGCCTCAGCTGTACAGAGTGCTAGAATTATAAGATATGTATTACTATATCCGACTCTGCGTGGTTTTTTATTTTTTGTTTTTGTTTTTGTATGTGTGGCTTTTTAGTACGAGGGTTCAAACTCAGGACTTGGCACTGGCCAGACTCTTCCTGTGGTACAATACACAGAATGTTTCCTGCCTTTAACGTATGGTTTGACAGTGTGGTTACATTTGTGTTGTACAATCCCTGTCCATAATCTCCCACACATGTAGCTTCTGATTGGAATCTCGTCTCACAAGTCATCGGGTGACTGGGTTAGGAGTGTGGCTCAGTGGCAGAGCTGCTTACCTAATGCACAGGAAAACAGTGGGGCCCAGAGGAGGTACCCTGTGAATGTATGCTTTTTTTCAACAAGTTAAAAAAAGTATAGGAGGTGCTTAAGGGAGAGCTGGTTGGGGAGAAGTCATCCACCATCCCAGCTGTGTTACACAGTCCGAGTTGGGTACAAACCCACACCGTCTGTGAAGGTGCCAGTGTGTGCTTCTGAGCTGGCGTGGGGATTGTCGAGCTTCTGTCCACAGCCAGGAGGGGAGGTGACGTGAGGGATTCCTGGTTCCTGAGTAGAAGCTTTGCTTCCCTGTCGGGCCAGAGGCTTCTGTCCTGACTGTTGAGCAGTGAATGTTGCTTTTGCCCTCAACTTATCTGCTTCTTGGAACATGAAGTCTCTTATCCTTCTGTAGTCAGCAAAACTGTTGGACCCTCAGGACAATAAAACTTAGCTTCAGAGTTCTTTGGTCAAAATCATCTTGCAGTTTCTGTTAGATGTTGTTCCTTTTAACTTGCAAATCTTCTGAGCCTCAGATTACCAGAAAAGTCACTCTTTATTCCTTTCTGGAGACTCAGTACAGCATGTTAACTTCTTATTTAACCTTTATCTTTTGTTTCCTTATGGTCCAGGCCTCTTGAGCTTACAGTTGGATTCTTGTCGTACCAGACTGTAAGTGCTGGTTAAAAACCACAGTCTAGGGCACCACCCTTGCAGGAGGGGGGTACTCAGCTCTGAGAAGGTCACTGTGTGCCCTAGCTGGCTGCCATTTAGAGATGTGGCCTAGTGGCACTTGATTTGATTGTACATAGTCTGCAAGGATAATATGACTTCAGGTGAGATCCTTGAGTTGTCACTGTGTTAGCTCAATCACCAGAGCATATGTAATGTCATCAAAATGCACAGTGAGTGTTTAAATTTTTTTTTTAAATCAGTACCGGGGATCGAATTCACGACTGCCTGCTTGCAAGGCAGGTGCTTATGCTGCTGAGCTAAATCCCCAGCCCTGAGTGTTTAAGTTTTATAAAAAATAATTATGTTAAAGACATGTTGCCATTAGTCTCCCTCAAAATCTCCCCGCTTGCTTCAGACACAATCTCTCGCTCTTGCCACTTTCTGAAACAGTTCTAGAAGCCTTCTTTTGTGAGTGTGTGATCAAAAACACAATGAATTCTGATTCCGAGTGTCATCCAGCTGAAAGGCAGGCTTGTAAGATACACTGCAGTGCGTCCTCATCCACCTCATCACCAGATCCAGCACTGTGCAATTTCTGGCCTTTCCCAAGTCAGAATGAAAGGTAAACGTTTTGAATTGAGTCAGGACCTGGAAACAGCCACAGCAGTGCACCTGAAGACACTTACAAAAGACTCCAGCCCTGCTGCAGAAAGTGTCGAGTGTGATGGGTTAATTGTGAGCCACTAAAAGGGAGGGGAGTATGTTTTAAGAGAGATTAATGGCATTGTGCCTTTTACTGTAGGTTTTAAAAAATGTAAGTCTTCCCCGTTATTTTGATCACACCACATAGTGTAGGCGGCAGCAGGAACAGTGCGCTGTTGTGTTGGCAGGTGAGTGCCGTCCTGCACCAGCTCTGTCCTAGCTTGGGGCTTGTCTCCATCTCAGTGCTGCCCCTGTCTCGAGAGCCTCTAGTGTACATAGAGGAGCCGTGCGTGCTCACTACAAGTGCACACCACAATGCGAACGTAATGCAATTTTTATTTTGTTTGTTTGCAGTGCTGGGGTTTGAACGCTGGGTCTGTCACACCCTCCACTGGGCTGCATCCCCAGCTCAGATTGTGTTTCTTGAAACCTCAAACCCGAGTTATGTGCAGAGGTCTTCAACCTGTCGGCCACATCTGGTTTTTCTTTCCTCTTTGTCTTTTGTAATACTGAAAGACAGTATTACGTGAATTGAACCCAGGGCTTCGCACATGCTGGGCTAGTGCTCCACCACGGAGCTTCATGCCCAGCCCCTGGCTTTGCGTTTCCTTTTTTTGGGTGGGGGAGGATTCCAGGAATGGAACTCAGGATCTCATGTTTGCCAGGCAGGTGCTGCGCTGCTGAGCTATATTCCCAGCTCTGGCTTGCAGTTCCACAGGATCTTATGTATAGGTATTTGTTCCCCACAGTAAATGTAATCAGTATGTACTGCACACATGTACTAATAAAAAAAAAAAACTGGAGAAACCAGCTGAAAAGCTTAGCACACTTACTGTGGCTCCTCACAGAAATTTCATCAGTCAGCAGTCTGTTCTCACCCTGCCTTGAAAGTAGATTTCCAAGAGACTCAGATCACTAATGTTTCCTCTTCATGTGTTCCTTTCAGATATTTGTCTTCCACGCTGATTTTTTAATCCCATTTTCTCCTCCCCACAGAAATACAGCCCCTCAGACCCTGCCTTTGCCTATGCCCAGCTGACCCATGAGGAGCTTATCCAGTTGGTCCTCAAACAGAAGGAGACCATCAGCAAGAAAGAGTTTCAGGTCCGCGAGCTGGAGGACTACATCGACAACCTGCTCGTCAGGGTCATGGAGGAGACCCCCAACATTCTCCGCATCCCAGCTCAGGCTGGCAAAAGAGCAGGCAAGATGTAATGGGAACACAGGGCTGGCTGTGCCCACCTGCTCTCCGGATCAAGGACTTGCTGTGCTGACATCCGGCCAACAGGCCCAGATCACCATCTCTCCTGCGTGTTATCTCTCAGGAGCCAATTCCACCAGCCTAAGCCAGGTTAATTATTACAATGCATTTTGTACTGTACATTCCCAGGGTTTTATTTTTAAATGCCACTGTGCCTTTAACTAGGTTGTAAATATTTTATGCCCACAGGAGACTCTGTCATAAGATCTGCCCCTGAGCCAGAGGTTCAGATGGCAGCAGATCCAGTAGTGCCTCTGAACCCAGGGACTGTCTTTCTTCAGTGTGGGATTTTGCAGACAGGTATCCTCAAGTCTAGGGCCTGGACTACAGTGTAGGGCCATGGGCCATGGGCCATGTGGTGGTGCTGTGATACTCGAACTCCCCTGGCCTTTGAGTGGCTCAGGTGTTTTGGCTGCTGCAACTTCTGGATTTTTATACCATCTGAGCTTTCCAGGCTTCTCAGAGCTGGTTCTTTTGTCTTTATTCTTTGAGTAGCTCAGAGTCATTTAGGGAAAACTTCTGAGCATGTGTCTTAGCTTCTAAACAAACTTGGTCTTTGTGTTAGGGTTACCATGTGTTCTCTCTAGAGCTTTTCCCCTGAAGGTGCACAAGGTAGATGTGGCTTAGAAAGTCACGTCCCTTGGCCGAGGGAAGTTTGGCAATGTCCCCCCTTTCATGACAGCAGGATCCCTGCCGGCTGGACCAGTCTCTTCAGTGCCTTGATAAGGACCTGAGTGGTCCAGGCTCTCACAGTGCTAGCCTGAGACATCTTTAGAAGGATGCCTGTGGCCTTTCCACCTGTGCCTCTCCTTGGCCAGACTGTAGAGGGGGCAAAGCCACTGACTCCTGGAGATACAGAAAGCTGGCCTGGGATTCGGCATATGTGAGCCCAAGGTTGCATCCCTGGCACTGCAAATGAAAACTAAACAAACCAGAAAAATCCTTTAATTTTGTTGGCCAGGAGGAATCACGGGCTTGGATCCTGAGGGACCTCATGTAACTTGTCCTCTGAATGCTGCCTGTCGCTGCCACAGAGAAACTCAGGTTGTGTCCAGGATGCACGAGAAGTTGTAGTGAAGGCTTCATTGTGGTTAATAAAATTGAGAATCCAGTAGAAAACAGGAATGCCTCAGCTTTTCAACAGCTGCTTCATGAACAGACTCAAGCCTCTTCCCCTCCTTGTTAGAAACTCAGGAAGAGCAAGGCTGGGGCTCACGCAGAGCACCCCTTACACATGGGAGGCCTGGGCTTGTCCCTGCCAGATTATGCCAAGCGAGAAGATGATACTTATTTTTGGACCACTGTAATTTGAAAAGGATGCTACACATATTTTTTAAGCGGAAGTACCTGCCCCTTTCTTAACTAACAGCACCATTTCACTCTCGGGGAATTTCTCTGTGGTCATCTCCCAGTGTTGCTCATCTCTTCCCCGGGTTGTAATAGCATGGTGGGGTGAGATGGTGGCATTTATTAACCCAGAACCCCTTCTCTGTGTGTCCTTGTTACCTGGAGGGTAAAAGCAGAACAGCGGGCAGCAGAGTCCCTTTTCTGGGCCGAGCTGGCCGCAGCCTTGTCTGTACTGGAGCACTTTAATCTGAAGGGCAATATTGTAACCTACCTGGTCAGTTCTGAAGGACCCACAGCTATTTTACTTAATTCTCTCCTGAAGTAGTGGGGGCCACTGTAAACTGCTCAGATGACTTGTATTTTTGTAGTGCAGTAAGAATTACAGACATGCCTCCAAAGAAAGCTATGTCTCCACTTGAACTCTGAAAATGGACATGTATATATATTTGTTCCGAATCTATTTTTTACTTGATAGAAGCGTATTTGTACTGTGATAACCCAAGTGTGCGGTGGGCAGGTGTGCTGTGAGTGGCACTCTTCCTTCAAAGAGTTGGTGTGCAGCTCTGGAGCCTCCAGGCACCAGGCCTTGGATGCTGAACTCTGTGGGCCTTGGGGAGGGAAGTCAGGGTGAAGAGTGACTTCCTGTGCCCTAAACTATCACTTGGGAACTCCAGAGAATGAAGGACAGTTTATTTCAGGGGCGTCTGGCTCCCACCACTACTGGAAAACAGTTCAGTTCATAGCATTCCTGTCCCTCGCAAAGTAGATAATTTGAAGGTCATTCAGCTAGGGACCGTCCTTGACGACTGCATTTGGAGGGGGGGAGTGGACTTGAGTGAGGCTTTAGTCCACTGTTGGCCTGAGCAGAGGTTGGTGAGGCAGAGCTGGGAAGCTCCTGTGCCTGGCACCTGCCTGAAGACCTCAATGCCCAGCCCTGCTGCAGATGCCAAACCAGCTGACGGGCCAGCAGGGGGCTCTGGGAACAGCACGTTTCTTAGCCTTTCTTGGCCTTGTCTCATTGCCTTCAGAGATTGTGCCCCTAACTTGGGAGAACCATCAGATTAAACACCAAAGAACTTCATGCATGCACACTGTTTCTAATTGCCTCCTTCTGCAGGCTTTGCTAGGTGTCCCTCCGTCCCCTGTGTACACTGCGTGGGCCACACTGAGGTAGCAGACACTAGGAGCAAGCAGCCCCGTCCTTTTCCATGCTCAGAAACTGGGCCTGGAGATGGGACCGTGTGCACACGCCCACAGGAGCGCGGTATAGCCCTGCGCTTTCCAGCTGTGCTACCTGGGGGAATTCAGCACCCCAACAGCAGATGCACACTGTATGGAAGGCCAGAGACCTGTCATTGTTAAATTATTTGGAGTCTTCCCTCCCTGAGCCTGAGTCCCTTCCCCCAGTTGACCTTTTTGTTTCCTCTTCAGGGCCTCTGTACTGTGCTACACCCACCCCACCCCCAGTCTTCTTTTTTAAGGAGTGCTGATTAAGTATCTATCCCTCAAGCTGAAAAGTCAGTTGCCTTAGATGGGGAACTTAACGTTTGGTATCCATACCAACCTCAGCTCTGGATTCTGCATATTTACTATGTAAGTTGCTAAATTGACTTTCCCCTTCCTGTGGTCGAAGGCATTTTTATATTACGGAATTACTGTTTTCTGCTTTGTGACTTGGGGGTTTTGAATTTCTCTGGTTTTTGTTTTTAAGAAGTAGCCTAAATTTTTCTATAACACTAAATAAAATGGTACTACCTTCGAAAGGTTTGTGTGTGTGCTTCTGTGTGGGCATAGAAGGTTTCTCCATCTCGCCGGAAAGCCTGTCTTGGGGTGGTGTGTGTGACTGGTTTCTCTTCCCACGAGGGTCTGATTCTTGGGTGCCTGCTGCTGCCACCTTCTCCAGAGGCCATTTCTTCCTCCGAGGGCAGAACATTTCCCTCCCGTCCCTGTGTACAGGTCTCACCTCATCCTGAGAGACCATGGCACTTATCAGACAGACAGCATAGGAGCTGTGGGGCCCACCTGTTCCTATGCACCTGGTGCTGCTATTGTCTGAGCCTTTGGATGTGGACGCCTCCCTGGTCTCCTTCCCCCTACACACGGGCTTCCCAAAGAATGCAGTCTGCACTGTGGGGCACAGGTTGAGTTGGTACTGAGTTCAAAAGCAGGTCCTGGGTCCAGGTAGCTGAACACAAATTACGAGGGCAGGAAAAGGGGTCTTCTGTCCTCCTCTCTCCAAGAGGCCCAGCCCGTCCAGTGAGGGGAGCATCCCAAGCATGGTGTGTGGCTCACTGACTTCACCCTGAAACTCTGGCTTCTAGAAATGGAGCAGATGTTGCTCCTCTTGGTGAGACAAAGATCACCCCATGGAGTCTCCCTGGATGTAGGGAAGTACCTGGTTACCCCAACTAGACATAGTGGGATCACCAAAACAAGGGGTCCGAAAAGAGCTCTTCTGTCTCTGCTGGGATGGAAACCCAGCAGGGTTTCATGCAAGCTACAGCCCCACCCTAAGGCAGTTTCTCTTAAAACTCAAAGCCCCCCCCCCTAGGTTTGACAGAAAGGCTTCTAGAAGAATCCTTAAGGAGGAAATTTAATTTCCACAAATGACACCAGCTCACTGAGTTCATTCTCTTGCTTTCAGAGTTCTCTCAGCCTGGTTCCTGAGGTTTGCCACACGGGTAGCCTACTGTGGTTTCAAGCCCCAACACAAGGGGGGCCCAAGTTACTCTTATTTTGAGTTCCTTTAATCCAGCTGCTAATTACAGCTGGGTTAAAGCTTCTCCCAAAAGCTTTGGGAGAAGAAAAGAAAATAAGGGAAATTGTGACTGGGTATCTGAGCAACACTGAAAGAGGAAACTCTTGAGCATTCTGAGCTCAAGGAAGTCAAGCCCCCAAAAGTCCATTGGGTCAGCAAGTTCCAGTCCATCCTGGCCATCCTGGTGGTGATCTACAGGCCCCGTGTGGTCCATTCTGGAAACACAGTAGACACTGTTTCTCTCCACTCTCCTGTCCACTTGCTTGGTCTGTAGATTTTTCTAGGTAACATAATTTGTTAACGTTTCTTGTTCTTCAACAAGAAAGTGAAAAATGGTAATCTCCCCACCTCATGAATGAACCACTGTTACTTTGACCTGACCTAGGACTTTTTCCCTCTCAAACAAACTGGCGGGCTGAAAAAAGGAAACAGAGGACTGTCTGGATCTGAAATGTTCCCCAAAGGCCATTATGCTAAAGGCCTATGGCACTAGGAAGACGGTGCAGCCTCTGGGAGGTGGGGCTTAGTGGGACGTTAGGTCACTGAGGTGTGGCCCGGAAGCGGGTATTGGCCTCCTGGACCCTGTGAGAGGGGCCACTCTGCTCTGCTACACACTGCAGCCATGGTGTGTGCTGCCTTTCCATGGGCCACACACAGTGGAGCCAACAACCATGGAATGATAGCTCTGAAACCATGAACACAAATAACTTCCTTTTTTTGAAGTTTGATTATCTTGGGTGTTTTTGTCTGAGCGATGGAACTCTAAGAATCACAGTACATCTTGTTTTGAACCTACCTCCATGTTGATAAATTGTTGCTGATAAATTATCTGCAAAGGTCCACAGTCTGCAACCATGACCGAGAGTGACTGTCTCCCAGCTGACAGCCCCTTATCATACAAAGAGCTGAGGTAGCTACACAGATGAACTAGGTCCTTCTGGCTTGGGTCATAATGGCAACTGCCTCTGGGCAGGGCAAGCACTTGTTCAGAGGGCACTCCGTCCACCCCTCTACCCACAGGCAGTGGTTGTGTACGGAGGTTGTTCCCGTGACCCACCAAGGCAAGGGTCTGCCTCACAGTCTGTCCTAGCCCTCTAGCCTAGTCTCTTAACACACTGATCCGGTGCCCAGCACCCCTTAGTTTTGTGGGTTTTTTTGTCTTTTTCTTTTTTATTGGGACACAGCTATAACTCTCACAGAGTTGAGGAAAGGCTGCTTCCATCTTTGCAAATCAAATGCGCACTTCAGGCTGAACCCTGACTTCAAAAGGAAGGCCCCATGTCTTGCAATAGTAGGATTTGCTAAACTGTGACAGACTACTAATTCTTACCAGTTTAGAGAAATGTCTCCATACACAGATGAGGCACCTGAGACTCAGAAAAGCCTCAGAACTTGAGTTTGCTGAAGTCACACCTAAATAATAAGGATTTAGCCTGCTATGTGGGAAGGTAAAGCACCTGAAGAAGCTGGGCTCAGGATCACCTGAACCCAAGACTTCATGGCCAGCCTAGGCAACAACAAATTGAGATCCCATCTTTTAAAAAAGAAGACAGGAAATCCAGGCGTGGTGGTATGTGCCCATAATCCTAACTACTCAGGAGACTGAGAGGAGAATTGAAAGTTTGAGGCCAGTCTGGGCAATTTAGGGAGATTCTTAAAATAAAAAGGGGTCAGGGGCATAGACCAAAGCCCTGGGTTTGATTCTCAGTCCTGCATAAAAGAAAAAAAAAGCCGGGGACAGGGTGTACCTCAATGGTATGACCCTTGCCTGGCATGCACAAAGCCTTTGGCACAATCCCCAGCACCACACACACACACACACACACACACACACACACACACGAAGGAAGAGGAAGAAAGAAGAAACGAAGTGGATCGCTTTATCTGTCTTTGAGGTCCAGAGCAGGGGTGTCAAAGCTATGGCCACAGTGGCCTGTTTGTATCATGAGAGTTCTAAAAGGTTCTCAATCACTGGTCTAGACAGTGCTCAGCAAACTATGACCTGTCTCCTGTTTTTCCAGTTTTCCACGTGATTTTAACATTTATTTAATGATTGAAAAAAATTAGTAAACACGTATTCTGCCACACCTGTAATAGATTCGTCCTCATGTATGGCATCCCTTTGGCGCTGGACAGCGCCCCCTTGTGTTCCTTTCACAAACTCTCTACTCAAACCTCCCACTTTTCACGCATGCGCAAAGGCTCCTCCTAGCAGCTGCCAGTACGTCATTCAGTCCCCTCTTTGCTCCGCCACTGTTAAATTCCCAATAAAAAGCCCGTGGCTTTTTTTTTTTTCCTCCCCCTTGAAGCTTTTGAAGGGTCTCTGCGTTTCTTAAGCAGCTGTCCTATACCCTCAATAAAGGCCTGTTTTCCTCCCGTTCTTTCACCACAGGAAACCAAACAACCTGAGAATTACATGAAACTCGAATCTGAACCTCGTTGTCCTTCTCCAGCTCTCACAGATGTGGGGGAAGGCTGCTTCCGTCCTGGCAAATCAAATGCTCACTTCAGGCTTAACCCTGACTGCAAAAACCAAGCTTCACTGAACAGAGCTGGGCTTGTTGTTTGTGTCACTGCTTGCAGTTTTCACATCGCAAGTGCAGAGGTGAGGAGTAGACACAAGCTTGAGTCCTGGTGATACAGGAAATGATGTCAGGACCTCCAAATGTGATATGAGGCAAATATGATAACCTCCAACCTGTTAGTTGTCTGATACACTGAGTTCGTGTCCTCTAAAATGGAAGGATGAATTCTAGGAACCACTGAGGTTAAGAGCAGGAAATATTTACTGAGTTCCAAAGTTCCTGCCTGAATGTGGGTTGCTCCTGACCCCACTTCTCAGGGGAAGTTTTATGGACTCAGTCAACTGGGTACAAGGTGGGTTACAGCTATGATCAACAAGAGTATGAGTATAGCTGCTTAGATGATACTGATCCAGTGGGGCACCAAGTCATGTAAAGAGTGGGTATGGAAAGAAAAAAGAGTTTCTCAGGTAGGGGCTGGATTGCGGTCACTGCGGTTGCTAATGCCGATCTAGATTTTATTGGACCAGGTGTAATCACTTATCTCATTCCTAGGGAAGAATGTAGGTCTGGTCCTTTTGTTGTTATCTGCAGGACTGGCCTCTGATGTATCTTCACAGCTACAACTACTTTACCTTTTGTCTTGACCTCGTTAAGGACCCAGCCCTACCTGATTATCTATATTCCTACCTAACTTAGCAGTCTGAATATTATGGTTTCTCTATAGATTGAATAAATCTTTCACCTTTTACTAACTTAGCAGTCTGTGATACTGAAAATGCAAAGTATCTGCTCCAGCCATGTACAGAAAGCAAGCCAGCCCCTGGTACAGAACCACTTTGGGGGCCAAGAAGATAATGTCCCTGTGATTTGCTTGGAATCACAGATGGAGACATTTGGAACAGGCAGGGGAAATGGAGTCCATATAACACAGTTCCCTCGTAGGACTTCCCATAAATCAGACGAGTCCCATGCTCCTTGAAGAGAGAAGTTCTGGGCAAGGGACCAGTGTTCCTGCTAGGAGCCAATTCGGTGAAGGGAATGGGGAGCATGAGCATGATCACTGGTGCCCTGGTTTCTAGGAGCTCAAGAAGCTGAACTTCTTTGTATTGTTTTGTTTTTTTGAGGAAGGGTCTCACTCTATGGTCCAGACTACCTTGACTCACAACGTAGCCCAGGCTGGCCTCAAATTTGCAGCAGTCCTCTTGCCTCAGCCTCCCAGCCCTGGGAGTATAGGTGTAAATCTCCACACCTGTCAAAACGGAACATACTAATCCGCAGACCAGGAGAGGGGAAGTGTGTGTGTGTGTGTGTGTGTGTGTGTGTGTGTGTGTGTGTGTGTGTGTGTTTGAACAGAGGTGAACAGAAGAACAGAAATGACAGTACAGAAGGGAACACTGGACAGGTAAGGAAAGGTCCTAGACTCAGCAGGAAGTCCTGGCCAAGCTCTGTCCCGTGGTAAGGAATGAGCCTTGGGTAGTTTAGTATAACAATAAGAGAGTACACTGGGAGCATAAAGCAACACTGAGGCAGAGTCACAAGGTTCAGTCAAACAAGCTGGGGCCAGGGGTGAGCCCAGCTCTCCCCACCCTTGCTCTAGACTAGAATGACTGTGCCTCTGGGGAATCTGGTCTGCCTGGTGTTTCCATAGGCCCACCCATAACAGGTATGCACAGCGTTTTACAGAGCACCAGCCCTCCCTGGACAGTGTCTCTCTCAGAGAGTCTTGCATGCAAAGGGAAAGGCAGGCAGGCAAATGCCAGGGGAGCCGGATGCAGAGCTCCTGCCGGTGCCAGGCCGTCCTCTCCTTCGGCACCTCTGCCTCCAGTGTCTCCTTGGGAAACATCCTGCAGCTTCGCACACTGGACTGTGTCTGCAGCCTTCTCCTCAGCCTCCACTTCCCTGTGCCTCGGACCTGGCCTGTCTTGGGCACTCAGCTGAGGGGCATCGATTCCACAGTCACTATCACAAATGATGATGACCCTCCAAAGAGTTCGTAGCAGCACAGAGGACACTGAGGATAATGGGCTGTCCTGATTTCATAGACCTGGGGAGGCCCCAGACTCCCACGGCTTAGCAGAGTATGCCAGCTTCTGGCCCTGGATCTTGCTTTCTTCCCAGCAGTGTGTGAGAGCAAGATGCTCCTGGGCCTGCTTGTGACTGGGACAGACGCCCTGCTAGCCCAAGGCTGGGTGGAGAGGGGTTGCAAAGCTGCTCTCTCAATTTACAGTGGGTCATGGCCCAGAACACAGGATGTCAAGGCTGTGGAAAATTCTGTTTTTTTTTTCCTTTAATGCAGTTAGGTTCAAGATATGCACAAAATCAGAAATGAATCTGATGCCATTCTGCACACTAACATAGCAGTACTTTCACTGCTAATTATGTTGTCTTTGTGGAACAGTACTAGCTAAACACACAAATGTCTTTTTTTTTTTTTTTTGGTACCGGGGATCAACTCACGACTTTGCATTTGCTAAGCAGGCACTTTACACTAGCTGAGCTAAACACCCAGCCTGACATACAAATGTCTTAAAGGTATATTGTGTGCCCATGCAAGTCTAGTTTATTATTTATCTTCCAGGCAAATAAATCCTCATCCCATTCCTCACACTGGTGAGGAAGTTATGGAGACAGGAACTTGAAATGTCAAAGTCCCCTTCTACAACAGGGCTAAGACAATGGACTCATTTCCCCCAACACCTAACTGAGCCCAGGAATGCTCTATGACTGAGCTACATCTCCAGACAATTTGTTTTTACTTTTTTTTTGTCAGAGTCTCATGAGGTTGCACAGGCTCATCTTCAACTTGTGATCTTTCTGTCTCAGTGTTTTGACAGGCTGGGACTACAGGTGTCTGCCTCTGTGCTGGCTGTTCAGATTTCCTGGGGATGCCTGTTTTCCTTGGCTAGTGGTGATGTACCTTATCCCCACCACTGAATCGGCTTGCAGTGGGAACACTGACCCCTTGCCTGGAACTTCTCTCTTCTGGGATGTTGGGGATCATCTGACTTGTGGGAAGTCCTATGAGGGAACCAAGTTACATGGACTTCATATCCCCTGCGTGTTGCAGACCTCTCCACCTGTGTGATTCTGTCAGAGGTAAGTTGCTAAATTGGTTGGGCTTGAACTTGTGATTCTCTGTCTGAGCTTCCAGAGTGCTGGGGTCATGTGTGTCCTACCACCTCTGGCTAAAGCTCAGGGGTTACCACATCCGAATCTGCTGGCATCTTTCAGCCTGCCAACAGCTGCACCAATCCACATTACTCTCCCAAAGTCGGCTAGACATTCCTTGCTGGGTTTCTGAAATCATCTCAGGTTACCGTTCTGGATTTGAACTCAACTCCCTTATTTTATAGTCAAGGGGGGAAAAAGACTTAAAAGAGAGGAAAGCAACTTGCTAGGGGAAGCAGCTGTAGAAAACAGAACACATTTTCTTACTGTCTGATACACTATTAAATCAACAATTTTTTTTTTTTTTTTTTTTTTTTTTTGCTAAGGCCCAAATCAACATTCATCTCTAAAGAGAAAGGCAGAACCTGTATTTCCATGTTTCCAAGAGGGTAGGCTTGGCCTTTGTGGTGCAGGCCTGTAATCCCAGGAGTCTGGGAGGCTGAGGCAGGAGAATTCCAAGGGCAGACCCAGCCTGTGGTTGTAGCTAGCTGAGCTGAGTTCAATACCTAGTAAGGAAATGAAAAAGGAAGGAAGGAAGCACGGGAAGAGAGGAAATGAAAAAGGAAGGAAAGGGAGGAGGGAAAAGAGGGAGAAAGGGGGATGGAGAGAAGAAGGAAGAAACGAAGAGAAGGAGGGGAAGGAAGGGAGAAGGGAGGAAGGAAGGGAGTGAAGAATGGGGTTGGGAGGGAGAGAAAGAAGACAGAAGGAAAGAAAGAAAAAGAACAAAAGAAGAAAGGATTGTTCAGGTATGGTTAACAATTTCTAGTCTGCAATGACGTAAATCGACAATTTATCCAGATTTAACCCGCCAGTGTGGCCACTTCAAACTATAGGTAGCAAAGCACCTGAGACGCAGTTCAAGGCAGGAACCTCTTTCGCCAGCTCGTGTTTCTACCCGAGTGCGCCGAACACAGGCAGGAAGTTGCGCGAGCTGCGGGGCGGGGCGAGCCGCTGCTGGCTAATTGGAGCCGACCGGGAGGCGAAGGTGTAGCTGTTATAAAAGTCCCCCGGGGTGCGCACGGTGGCTCTGAGCACAGGGCCAGGGTGGAGCTGCTGGGGCGCTGTGCAGTGTAGGATGCCGGGCGCGGGCCGTTGCCCCGACTGCGGCTCCGCGGAGCTGGTGGAGGACTCGCACTATTCGCAGAGCCAGCTGGTGTGCTCCGACTGCGGCTGCGTGGTCACCGAGGGCGTCCTCACCACTACCTTCAGCGAGGAGAGCAACCTCCGAGGTACCGTCCTTGGCGAGGGCCTGGCGCGGCGGAGCGGTGGGCCTCAGGTCCCCCTTCTTACCCCCGCTTTCTTTGTCCCCCACTCGCTTAACTGTGGACGGAGGGAACGCGGTCAGGGGCTGCCGCTCGCCTGCCTTTTAGCGCGGCATGTAGCGTACGCAGAGGCTCTCATAAATGTTGAATAAAAGAAGCAGGAATCTTTTTTGGTTACTGTTGAAAGGCTGTGGGTGAATTCTTTATGAAAACAGCACATGCAGTTATCCCAGAGGAGCACCAACCGGCAAAACAACAAAAACTCTTTTTTTTTTTCTTTGCTTTCCAAGTCTCTGATCAGGACAGCCTTCAAAATCTGTAGCCAAGAAAATTACCGAGATTGAATGCACAGGGAAAAGGACTGAAACTTTGGAATGCTTGGAACTGCTTTAAGTACAGGACTAATGTACCTTGAGCTCCGTGTATTTGATTCTCCTTGGGGAGGTAGAAATCTAGACTGGCCTTTTCTTGTGGTTGGACCAGGACTGGCTATGGGACCGAGAATAGACAGTGTTCGGGAATTCTGCTCCCTGGCCTCCTGTGGTGGGAAGGCAGGGTTCTGATGAATAGGAGCTAAGCCTGCCATTTGTTGTTCATTGTCTTACAGAAATAACGTATTCTCGAAGCACTGGGGAAAATGAACAAGTTAGTCGCAGCCAGCAACGAGGTGAGAATCATGCTTTTCTGACACAGTGGTTTTAAAGAAAATTATCCTGATAGTTGAGCCTGTCTTTGAATTTTCTTGTCTGCAGCGTTAATAGTGTAATGGAGAGTAGAAGAAATTATCAATTAGAAATCACAATTGGGTCACTGGTCATTCAAGAGGTGCAAATTAAAACAACACTGAGATTTCACCTTACCCTAGAATGAATGGCTATTATCACGAAGCAAGCAATAACAAATTCTGGAGGGGTTATGGGGAAAAAGGAACCCTTCTCCACTGTTGGTATGAATGCAGAACGGTGCAATCACTGTGGAAATCAGTGTGGAGATTCCTCAAAAAATAAAGATTAGAGGTCCCATTCAACCCAGCTATTCCCCTTTGTGTATCTTCTCAAAAGAATTAAAAACATCATACCACAGTGATGTTTTTTAGCAGCACAGTTGGTAATAGCCAGATCTTGGAAACAACCTAAATGCCCATCAACTGAGGGATGGATAAAAAAGATGTGGTATTTTTATACAGTGGAGCACCACTCAGCCATAACAAAGAATAAAATGGAGATCATACTTATTAGTGAAATAAATAAGATACTTGTGTAAACATTGTGTTACCTCACTAGTGGGAGAAGCTGAAAGTAACATGTATATGTGTGTGTAAATATATAGATGTATATAAAAAATAGTTATGTACTGATTTCTCTGAGTTTGCTAAAGAAAGATTTGTTTCCGTATTGTTCAGACAATTGAATCAGTTGTCTTGTGCTCTGGGTGTATGATTTGGGGATGACAATGTGCATTGTATGTAACATTGTTACCCCTGATTGATATGTTTTGAAATTTTAAGATTTTTTTTTCCTTTTTGTCCTTGAAATAAAATGGGTTTGAAAAAAAAAATCAAGGTTGGTGATGAAAATCAAGGTTGGTGATGGTTCTGAGTAGTAGCCATTCAGTGTGCATTTCGCTCTTGCGTGTTTGAGAGGAACTTGGATAAAATTTCGGCTTCAGGATTGAGGAAGCCCTAGGTTTGAGTGCCAGCACTACAAAAAAACAAAACAAAGAACCGATCCCCCCCCCACACACACACACAAATGTTCTCCTGTCAGTATAAACCAGGTACCTTATTTGTGCCTCTGGTATCTGTGACATTTAGCAGAACTAAATTAAGTCATAGCAGATCATCCTAGATTGTGCACTGTTTCCTCCAATTCCTCTTCTCTTTTGCTGTGGGTTTTCCTAGGTCTCCGCCGAGTGAGAGATCTCTGTCGAGTCCTGCAGTTGCCAGCAACATTCGAGGAGACTGCGATCACCTACTACCAGCAGGCTTACCGGCACCCCGGCATCCGAACAGCAAGGCTGCAGAAGAAGGAGGTGTTGGTGGGATGCTGTGTTTTAATCACCTGCCGGCAGCATAACTGGCCCCTAACCATGGGAACCATCTGCACCCTGTTGTATGCGGACCTGGATGTGTTCTCTGGCACCTACATGCAGATAGTGAAGCTCCTGGGGCTGGATGTGCCATCTCTGTGCTTGGCTGACTTGGTGAAGACTTACTGTGGCAGGTATCTGTCTCTTGGGGGATGCTGGGATGGGACAGGATGCATCTGAATCATTTTGCCTGGGTCTTTTTTTTTTTTTTGACCAGAGCTCATTTAAAACAATATGGGAGAAAAATCTAGTCTCTGTATCTTATGCCTGCTACTAGTAAGGTTAATACTGTTGTACATTTCTAAAACACTTAATTTTCAAATCTCATTCCTTTCATAACAACCTAACAGTTTGAGAAAAGTAGTTACTGGCCTTGTCATAGGGCTGCTGACTCAAGTCACATGTTTTAAGAAGGGCGCTTTCTGGGGTAGCGCATTGTGGAGCAGAGGCTCCGCCTTATGGAATCATCCGTAAAGGAGCTGAAGGGACAGTAGATAAAGCAGAACTGGGGCTAAAAGCTGAGTCTTTTTTTTTTTTTTTTTTAAAGTAGTTGTGTACTTTTTTGTTTTTCCTAACAAACATAGTAGAAGGCAAAGGCAGTGATGCAAATAGCCTGGTGTTCGGAGATAGGTTACAGAGAGAGGGTCTAGCATGAGTGAGGGCCTGGCTTCAATCCCCAGCCAAAAGCAAAAGAAAAGTAACTGCTGAACCTTGCTTCTTTCCTAGCTGGGTGACCAGGTGTGAGTGCATGGAACAGCGAAGACTTTTCAGAAGGTTAAATGAGAATAGTGGGAAGCACCAAGACTAGTGGCAAGCGGGGAGGTGCTCGGCTGATGTTAGTGCCCTTCCCCTGAACTGTGTGACCTCTCTGAATTTGCTGCCCAGCGGGTCTGAGGGCAGAAGAGTGTCCCTTTTTTGAGTGGACTGTTTTTGTCACTTTGGTGGATCAGCCCCACCATGAAGACCTGACCCTTGTTTTTATTGTTTCAGCTTCAGACTGTTTCAGGCCTCTCCATCCGTGCCAGCCAAATACGTGGAAGACAAAGACAAGATGCTGTCTCGAACCTTGCAGCTGGTAGAACTGGCCAGTGAGACGTGGCTGGTCACCGGGCGGCACCCCTTGCCTGTCATCACTGCAGCTGCTTTCCTGGCATGGCAGTCTCTGCAGCCTGCAGGTCGGCTGACTTGCTCCCTGGCCCGGTTTTGTAAAATGGCCAATGTGACTCTGCCCTACCCTGCAGCCTCCCGGCTTCAGGAGCTGGTGGCGGTGTTGCTTCGGATGGCTGAGCAGCTGGCCTGGCTGCAGGTCCTGAAACTTGACAAACGGTCCGTGGTGAAGCACATCGGTGACCTTCTCCAGCACCGCCACATGCTGGTGCGCATGGCCTTTCAGGATGGATCAGCAGGAATGGAGACCCAGGAAAAGGAGCAGCAGAGGCAGCGACAAAGACAGAGAAAAGAGGAGGTGGGAGGCAGCACCTCGGGTTCACTCCCGGGGAAGCGGCCAGCCAGCCCTGCACTGCTGCTCCCACCCTGTATGTTGAAACCCCCAAAGCGGAGCTGCCCCACACCCCCCATCTCCACAGTCACTGGAGATGAGAACATCTCTGATAGTGAAATAGAGCAGTATCTGCGCACCCCGCAGGAAGTTAGGGACTTTCAGAGAGCCCAAGCTGCTAGTCAGGCTGCTGTGAGTGTTCCCAACCCTCCCTGAAGCCTCCTCCGTGATAGCGGTCCCAGGAAATAAGTCACGTAAGCACCTGGAAATCGTCTTTCTCCTTTGAAGGAGCCAAGAGGGCTGCAGCAGGCAGTCAGACTTGTGGCCCTGGAGAGATCTGAGTCGGGAGGATGAGTAGGTGGCCGCGGGTGGGGCAGGGGCTATGTGGTGGCTGCAGGACAGCAGGCTGCATGCATTTGCCCTCTAGGCTGACGACTCCTTAAAACTTGGGGGAATGGCTGGACTCCCTCTTCCCTGGGTCTGAATTGAACACACTGCTATTGATTCTGCAGGCTTGCTGGGGTTTCCTACTGTTCGTGGAGCTACTGGCATTTGCAGTGCTATTACCCACAGAGGCCAGGTGCTGGGAAACTGGGCCTGTGGATTCCGGGTACTGGTGGGCACCTGTGTGCCGTGTGTGCATGGTGTCATGAGACCCTCTACCTCATTAATAAAAGGACCGTGGGTGGACTACGGCTATAGCTCAATGGGCTTTGCAATATTTTAATATATTAAAACAAGAGACATCTGCTAGAAACATTCTATTGTATAAAACCCGAGCTCTTAAATACATGTTTTCTTTGGCACTTTTCATTCCCTCCCTCCCTCTCCCCAGCGTATTGCAAAAAGCTCTCCAGTGCTAAGGCATTGGCAGGTACGTAAACAGCAGCCAGCGTGTGTGGAAGAGTAATACAAAGCTTTCCCCCCCTAATATTGTCTGTGCAGCAAGCATAAATAACAGGACCTATCATGAGGAGCCTAAGTGTCCCCTCCCTGTGCCCTTTCCACGTGGCGATTAGGCCAGGGCGACATGAAGACTGAGGGGGCCCAGGGCTCCCCACACTTGCATTTGGTCCTGGGGTGAGGCTAGTGTTTGCGGTTCAGGCTGGGAAAGGTAGGGTGCTGGTGTTCAAGGTAGCGAAGGCACAGACCCGAGAGCCGCGGGCTTGGCTCAGGCTTCTGCGAGTCAGGAAGCTCTTCTGACCTCTTGGCCAGTAGCTCCCTACGTGGAGTTAGAGACTGCAGTACTGGGGTGCTTCTTCCCTGTGGCCTCACAGAGGCTAGGAGGTGTTCTTCCCTCACCTCCGCGTGGGAGCGGAGACGGCTTTGTAACTGCGCAGAAGCCTTCTCCAAACACTACCCGGACGCCAAGGGCAGCCGTCAGCAGGGCGCAGTTCACGTGTTCCCACCCAATCCAAGTGTGGGCGCCTAGGCCTCCCCCAGTCAGTGGCCACCTGGCGGTCAGCTTTGCAGGTGGGCGCCCGGGTGTCTTCTGGGATGCTGCCTCAAAGGCCTGCTTGGGTAGTCATGGAAATGGGGTGGCCTCACACTGCATGTCATCCCCGCCTGTCTGGCTCCTCCAGGCCTGGCTCCGCACAGCTGCCCCTCACCGCCCGTGTCCCCGCTTACAGTTAACTGGCAGAGCAGCGCAGGGAGTGCCGCCTGGGCCTGGCAGTCAGGAGAGGGCTGCGGGGTCCCAGCTCCCATCATCTCCCCGGGTGGCACTGTGCGCCCCATTCAGGCTTGTGGCCTGCCTGGCCAGGGCTTAACCTGGCCTCAGCTAGATGGAAGCGTGTCGCGCGTTTCCCTCCAGGCGAGCGTGAGGCAGACAGCTTCCCGGCCTCCGGCAGCCCCGCCCGCTGACTGCCAGAGCTCAGTAACGGCTGGGCTGTGGGCGCCCTAGACGGTGGTCTCGCTCTTCCAGAGGCCGCTCTTCATGCAGCCGCCGCCCGCCTCTGTGCCCTCGTCGCACCTGCCGCCCTTGGGCACGCCGTTCAGGCTGGCGGCGTTGAGTGGGTACGAGCGCCGCTTGCCCTCCTTCTCCAGCGAGCCACTGCCCCTGAGGTCGCAGCGGCGCTGGCTGGGCTGCCCGGCCTCGGAATGCGGCGCGGCACTGGTGTCGCTGCCCTCAGATGGCGTGAGCGTGGCCTCGCCCTCAGGCGGGTGGCCATCACTCGGGCTGCAGCGCAGGCTGCTGCTCTCGCTGGAAGGCAGCTCCGGCGCCCCGGACACCGCGCCCGCGCGCACTGCCCTCAGCCGGCTCCTGCCCGCCGCTTCCCCTGCACGGGGCGTCTTGGTCCGGCTCCGGTGCGCGCGGCGCCCGTGGTGCAAGTTGTTGGGGTGGCGCGGAGCCAGACCCGCACGGGGACCCGTGAACTCCGGGTCCCCCTCCCCTCGGGCCATCCCCACCTCGCACCCCTGACTCTGGGCCAGCTGCAGGTTGGTGAGCTTGCAAGGCCCGCTGCTGCCGCCCGGGGAGGACTGGAGGGACGCTGGCCCCTCAACCACCACGAAGGCGCCATCCTCGAGAGAGGTGGGCACCGCGCGGGTCGGGGAGTGGGGAGCCGCGGGCGAGGCCGGGGGGCAGCACCCGCGCCAGGAAGCCCTCACGTCCCGGCGCCTGGCACAGTGATGCGTGAAGACGAAGAGGCCCAGGGCCGAGGCTGCCACTCCGTAGAGACAGCTACACACCACCCGGGGCAGCCAGCGCTGCGACACAGCCAGGGCCCCGCAGGCCCACATGGCCAGGTACAGGAAGTGCGTGGTCATCAGCGCCCCCAGCTGGACCCCCGGGGAATAGAGGCCGTCCCTGTCCTCAGGGGACCCCAGGGTCGCCACCCCTGTGCTCCCAGTTGGCAGCAGGGAACCTGAGTCACTCAGGAGGGCACCGCTGCTCCTGAGCCTGGTGGAAGCCCTCGGCTCCTCCCCTGGCTCTAGGGAGATCCTGCTGCCGCTGCCCTTCGAGCTCTTTGCCAGCGGACCACGTAAGTGCAGTCCTGCACACAGGAAGTAGATCCAGGTGATCAGCAGAATCAAAGCCACGGGGATGTAAAAGGCCCCGAGGCTGGGACGCCACACCAGCCAGCAGCTAGGGGAGACAGAGGCAGAGGGTGAGGAAGGAGGCATCGGGCCTGGCCGGGGAGGGAGAGAGGGAAGCAGGATCTGGGGAGTGGCAGGCTGTCCTGGCTTGGTCCCATGCAGGGTGGGGGTCAGGGCTGGTTGGGGCGATGCCAGGTGGGTGGGTCTGGCAGGCAGGGGTGATGGGCAGCAGGGAGAGGCGCTCACTAGGGACTGTGGTCCTGGTAGTTGTGGATGTTGACCGCAGCTGTGATGCCACAGATTATGAGCGGGATCCCTCCAGCAATCAGATAGAATCTAGAGGGAAGCAGAGTTTGACGTCAGGGAGATGGGGCTGGAAGAACAGGAGCCACCACTGGGGTCTCTGCCACCCCACCCTCTGTCCCCTTTACATTTCTCCCAGGTTGCTTATTGGTGTTTCATTGTTGCCATTGTTTTGTTTGGGGATTTTTTTTGTTTTATGCCAGGGATGCAAGGCCCCTACCAAGCAGGCCTGGGAAACAGGTTTGGCCTTGGCCGAGACAGTCCTAAAGGACAAAAGCCAGAACTGCTCTCAGAGATCAGGGTAACCTCAGTGTAAAGGCAAGGCCTCTGCTGAGACATGGAGCCTCCCTGCCTGCACCCTGGGAAGCTGCTTCCCCTGCTTCTGAGTCCTTTGGCCCTGCACTCACAGAGGTGAAATCTTACCGGAGCATGGGCTGGGGAGCAGGTGGCAGAGGGTCACCTTCTTGTGGAGGGGGCACCCTCCAGGTGAGCTCCTTGTGCAGGACTCGTGCCTTCACCCCCATCCAGAGCAGTGTGGACAGTGAAGAGTAGTGCAGAGTGATGCCCACCTGTGGTCAGGGTGCAGAGGCTGGGGTCGGGGCAGCTGGCTGGGCCAACCCCGCAGCCTCAGCCCGCCAGCCTGCCCTTCCTCCCAGGTGACCAGATACCCCTCAGGCTCTGTCCTTGCCATGGTCCTCTCACCTCCCCCCACGCCTCCCCCCCACCCCACGGGTTCTCAGGAAGCTGCTGCTGCTGAGTGGCCAGTCCCTGACATTGCCCTATCCCCTCTGGACTCTGAAGCCCTGTCTCCTACCTCCTCTGGCCTGGTTCCCACCACCCCTGCACTCCGGGCCGCTGCACTCATGTCACCCTCCAAGGCTGGCAGAGGGAACAGGGGAGATGGGCCTGTTCCCAGGAGCCTCTCTTCTCCATCAGCATGTCCCTCATCTATGCCCACACCGCCACTGCTCAGCTCAGAGCTCCCAGGCCCACACCCACTTACTGCCTGGCAGACCATCTGGTAGTTGGTGAGCATAATGCCTCCTGCAAAGACGGCAGAGGTCATGGCCACGTGGAAGCATAGGTTCAGCAGCATGTGCCACCCCTTCTGGGACACGTGGATGGAGCTTTCCCGGAGAGAATCTTTCATTAATGGGCTGCCCAGCCCAGGGTCAGGCCCGTGGGGTCTTGCAGCCACTGGGAGCACGGAAGGGGAAGGCAGACGTCTGCACGTGTGCCCGTGTGTATGTTTGGGTTCCAGCCCCAGAACCCTCCAACACAGTGCTGGCAAGAGCTGCAGCAGGTCAGTGGACCTGCCCAAGTCGGGCACTGCCAGGCCTGGGTGGCGCCCGCCTGCCCCTTCCGCAGCTCTCACCTGCGGTTGAGGATGTAGGTAATGATGGTAGAGAGCAGGCAGAGCAGCAGCAGGGCCGTGCAGGGGTACACGACAGGGTGCAGCCCGGCCCCAGAGCCCCCCGGCTCCTTGGGGAAGGCACTCAGCTCCTGAGGAGGAGGAAGGAAAAAAGGCTGAGCCAAACCTGCCCATCTCCCAGATCTGTTTCCCTCTTTCCAGGCACTGCTGGCCATGCAGGAGTCGGCCAGGGGAGACACCAATAGCCTCCCCTCCCAGCATCCTGCCCTTCCCGGAACTTTTAGGATCCCCAGCCTACAAAACCCAGAAGGAGTGAGCAGCTCTGGGCAAGTAGGGGACAGATGTGGTAAGGGAGGGGACGAGAATGCGCCCAGGTTAGTTCTCCCCTTGGAGAAGCTTGGTTCTGAGGAGTACGGCGTTGGCGGGGCGGGGGGGGTGGTAGGAAGAGGCCAGGGGTTTCAGGTCCAGCTCTACAGAGGGGAGACACAAGACTGCCCATCTCTGTGGTGGGAAGGCCACAGGCCATATCCTAGGAGCCTGCACTGGCACCAGGCTCAGCAAGCTGTCACCCGTGATTGGAGTCCCCTACACCACCACCCCACACGGCCATGCCCGCCCTGCCCCAGCATACCCACCATGAGCACAGCCACGCTGCCCAGGTGCTGGCAGTGCAGGGAGCTGACGTTGGGCTGGCTGGAGCGCAGTTGGCAGCCTTCCGAGCTCCAGCCCCCAGACCCCTCCTGGCTCCACCAGGCTGCCGTGGGATCAGCCCCCTCGGCCCAGTGTCGAAGCGACACAGCCACTGGCTCGGTCAGGTTCCCCACGCCGCAGCCACCTACAGGGAGAGGGAAGTGTGTGTGCACCCAAAAGGCTGTGCAGGAGGCTGGCTTGTGTGCTGGAGTGGTGTGGGTGCGCTCAGGGCAGCTGTGGCAGTGGTCAGAGCTTACAAGACACCTTTGGGGTGGAGCTCTGGGCAGGGCTCAGAGACAAGAGGTGGATGCCAAGTATGAGCCACAGTCTAATGGGGAGACTCGACAGGAGAAGCAGAAATAAAGAAGTGCTAGCTGACTGTGGAGGTTCGTGTCTGACCACTGAGGCAGGAGGATTCTAAATTTGAGCCCAGCCTGGGTAACTTAAGTAACATTCTCTCTCAAAATAAAACATTAGTAAGAGGGGATGTGGCTTGTGTAGAGTGCCACTGTAGATGCCCAAGGAGTGGACATCATGCTCCTCCAAAAAGACAGAATCTGAAGGGCACCTGGGGACAGGGAGCAAGCAGCTAACGTGAAGGGAGCAGAAGGCCAGGTGAAGGCAGGTGTCAGAAGGATGCCCGAGAGGGGCTGGCAGGGTGGCCCAGGAGGACAAGGAAGAGACAAGCTCCAGCACAGCTGTGAGTGGAAGGTGCCTGGCACATGGGCTGCACAGGTCCCTAAACCTGCATTCCCACCAGCAGCTGACACTGATAGTACTTCCCTGGGGGGCCAGGTCTTTCAGATCTCTGCAAGCTTGGTTTTCAGGGAAGGCCTTCTGGAGCCCTGTAGGGCTCTGTCATCCCTTGTAACTATGCACACTGGATGCCTGGTGCTATTGCTCACTTCCAGGGTCTGTTCCCTGCTGAAGGGTGCAGTCCTCAAGGATGTGGTTGGCTGTACATGGTGAAGGCGTGACCCAACCCCATGCAGCCTAGCATGTGAGGCTCAGGGGGCCTTCCCAGCCAGAGGGGGATGGACAGGAGACCCTGAGAGTGACAGCCACACCTGGCTGGGAGAAGAGCACAGAGTTCATCATGTAGAGATGGCATACAGGGGAAGGCAGAGCCATCTATCACCTGTCATCTGTCTTATCTGTCTGGTGGTATAGGGGACTAAATCCAGAACCCCTTTTTTTTCTTTGAGATGGAGGCTCCCTAAATTACCAAGTTGCTCAAGCTAAATTTCAACCCTCCTGCTTCAGCCTTCAAGAATGCCAGGATGCCAGGCATGTGCCGCCACACCAGGCTGGGAACGCAGTGCTGTGGCTCTGGATGAGCCTCTGTGATGAGCCTGGCCTGTTTTACATAAACCTGGTGTCAGTGTGAGCAATGAACTAACGATGAGCCCAAAAGACAAGGCTGAGGTACAGAGGGCAGAGGAGAGGCAAAGTCAGCCCGGGAAAAGGCACACAGGAGCCACTGGCCCGGAAGCTGCTGTGAGGAGCTGCTAATGGAGAGGGCGCTGCCAGTGTGTCCCTCTGCTCCTGTGCCACACCTGAGCAAGGCTGTCTCGCACGGTTCCCTCCCCACCCTGTCTCTAGTCACTTTGTCCCTTCTGCCCTGGTCCCTGCATCCTTTGTGTCTCTGGGAATCCTGGCCATGTGCAAGACTTACTGCTCAGTCCCACCTTCGGGGACTGCCAGGGTCACTATCTTTGAGGGCACTTCTCACCAGGGCTGTTGGGCAGCAGCCTCCTCAGCCTCTGCCTAAGGAGGCCCTGGGTGTTATCCAGCCGCAACCCGCTCAGGGAGACGTGGCAGGCAGGACACTGCCAGCTGGAAGCCGCGTGTGGCAGGCAAGGGGTAGTGTCCCCTGCGGGCAGAGTGTGGCACAGCAAGACGGACGCGAGTGGAGCATGCTGGAGTTTGTGCTTGCAGCCCTGGTAAAGGCTGGAGTCAGCTGGAGCCTGTTTTCACTAGGCACTAATGAGAGACCCTCCATTCTCAGCTGCTCCCGCCAGGGAAGGGGTTGCAGGCAGACAGGGTGGGGAGGGGGTGTTCAGTCCCTTACTGGTGCCTGCAAAGATGACCGGGGTGGCCACTCCACGCCACTTGCCAGGCCGGGCAGTTCCAGACCGGGAGGTGTTGCCGTGGCTGCGGAAGAGGCGACCATTTCGAAAGACCAGCAGTTGCAGGGTGCAGTCTGGGGGGCCCAAGGGAGTCAAGGAAGCCGGAAGGGATGAGAAGAGGCTGGGGGGCAGCTGGATGGCGGCCAGGGCCACGCTGTTCTGGGGGGACAAAGGAGCTCCTCAGAGACACTCCACCTTTGGGCTCGGGGGTCTTCCCACTCCACCTCCTCCACATATTCCCCGACTGCACCCCCAGCTCACCCCTGCCAGATGCCTGCCCCCCAGGCCCCCACGCCCACCTTGATGTGGAAGGATGACAGAGAAACATTGGGTCTCCCGGTGGTGCAACGGAAGCGGAGGTGCTGGTCAGCCAGGGGCTCAGGCTCAGGCAGGGTGTTGTGGCCGGGGCCGCCCAGGTGGGGCCCAGCCACCCCTAGCTCTTGTCTCTGGAAGGCTGTACAGGTCAGACCCACGTAGCTGTGGGGCTTGACGAGGTAGGCCTCCAGCGCCACGTTCCTAGAGTTCTAGGACAGAGATCAGGCAGTTTTTGGCACTGTGCAGAGCTGCTCAGGTGGTGCCTGCCACCCTTTGGTCTTTGAATCTTCAAAGCACAGGCTGCCTTACTATACTGGGGGGGGGGGCAAGGACTTTCTCCTTCCTGCTGTGGCACTGTGCCCTTATCAATGTTCTCATCTCCTGTATTGCTCACCTCTTTTTTTTTTTTTTTTTCATGTAGCCCAGGATTGCCTCAAACTCAAAATCCTCTTGTCTCAGCCTCCAGGGGGCTGGGGTTACATATAGGCCAGCATCACCACTCTCTGCCTCAACTTGGTTGTAGAGTAGTATCCACATCTAACCGTGGCACCTCCCAATGTGCCCAGCACAGTATCTTGCATGTAGAAGCAGCTCTGCCATGGTCATTAACTGGTTAACAACCCTACCCAGCTGGAAATGTCACTGCCTCCTGCATGGCCATCCCTTCTTACTGTCACAAGGGACCAGGCTCCCTCCCATTCCTCAGTTCCTCTGGTTCCTGTTTGTTGCCATCAGGTCAGCCCTCTGCCTCAGCAGCCTGGGTCTGCCCTCTGGCCCGCCCCTGACACCTCAGACTCTGCTCACTGTCCTTGGGGGCACAGTGGAGGGGAAGGGCTGGCCCTCCCCCATGCTGACCCACATTACCACAGAGATGTGCTGGGCATGGGGGCTGAGGACAGATCCCCCAATGCGCTCCAGGGCACCCAAAATGCCACTGCAGGCCTTGTCCTCGCGCTGGGCCAGCCACAGCAGGTGCTCGTCCACCAGCATCAGGTTGCTGGCCATGTCCACCATCACCTCCACCAACTGGGGCAGGAAGTAGCGTGGTCAGAGGGCAGGAGGGGGTCTGAGACCCAGGGGCGAAGCCCATGGCTCAGGGTGCTTTCCAGGGGCCTCAGAGAACAAAATCACACCTCTTTGATTTGGTCAACATAACCCAAAAATTTCTGGATCATCTGAGCCACGTAGACGACATCCATCATGTCTGAGAAGCTGGCTGCCTCGGCCGTGTACACGCGCAGCTGATGGGCCAGGGTCAGCGCGTTCGAAGCATTGATGGGCATCTGAGGGCATTGGAAGAAGAAAGAGGGGCATCCTGTGTCTCATCTTGTCCTTCCTTCTATCCCTGAGAGCCCCTGAGACCCCTCTCCTAGGGCCACCGTGGTTGCAGAAAGGGCCTGGGCCACTGGTCATCAAGTGAGCATGGCAGGTGATGAGACTGAAGTCACTCATTTCCAGCACCAAGGACAAGAGGACCATGTCTTGATGTGATGGGGGTAGACGGGAGTGGGGTGGAGCCCTGGTCCACTCCTCTACAGTGGCCTTGGTGGCTCTGAACCCAGGGGAAGGAAGGTAAGGGACAGCACCAGTGGAGAAGTTGGGCTCACAGCCCACTTTGTGGGCCCCTGGGGGCTGCGCTCCCCTCCCCTTCGGGCCACCACACTCCCCACCCCCTGCCTCCACTCGAAGGCTCACCAGCACGAAAGTATACAGCACCCTGGTGATGTCGTTGGTGTACAGGCAGTGGGAGTAGTCCCCCGGCTCCCAGCGGCCAGCCCGGTCACAGCGGCGGGAGGCTCGGGTGCCTGGGGCGCCTCCACTCAGGGGCACTGAGGTAAAGGGATACTGTAGGCAGGGCTGGTAGGCTGTGATGCCAGCCAGAGTTCGAGGCCACCTGGGGGCAGAGGCAGGAAAGTGCTACTCAGGACCACCCCTCCCGCCTACCCTTAACTGAGGCCAGACCCTGGCCCTGGAGGAGGGGATGCCAGAGTGTGCCCAAGGGGTTCTGGTTTCTGCTTGCTAACTCTGTGCTCTGACAACATGGTCCCAGGTGACTGTGTGTCCTGGCCACAGCTGAGACTTCGTAGTTTGAACCTGAATGCTGCCACTTAGCTTTGGGGCTAGAAGTCCCCGGCTCTCTCGGGGCTCCTGTTCTAAGCTGCACAGTTGGGTCGCCCATACCTGCCCTGCTTCCAGGGAGGGCTGTTGAGATATTGAAATGTGATGGTGTCCTGTGCATGGGCCAATAGAAACACAGTGTCTGGGAGACCTTTGCAAACTCTTCGTGTAAGAGAAACCTCTCTACCAAGTAGTAGCCATATCCACAGGGATGGCTCTGTAACAAGGGGACAGTGGAGCCTCTGCTCCCTGGCACACTCAGGGATGACAGTGGGTGTGGGGCAGGGGCACTCAGGTCTTGGATTGCCCCCTCGAGAGCAGAGCTGTGCGAACCTGAAATCGCCTCGGTTGTTGGCTACGCGCTCGGCAGGGCAGTAGGAGGCAGAGGTCTCCAGCACCACGATCTCCACCTTCTTGCTGGCATTGCCCTGGATCGTGGACACGGAGCATTCCCACTCGCCTGAGGCCCACACGCCGATGTGAGACAGGGTCAGCTCGCTGCGGGCAGGCGGGCGGGCGCCAGCTGGGTGAGGCTCTCGTGGCCCCGCCTGCCCCCACCCTCCAAGCCTGCAGCCAGTCCCCCCATGGGTGCCCAGGTCCGGCGGGCCATGTCTTTCAGTGCGCCAAGGACAAGGCATACGCTCCTCTCACTCCAATCGTCCTTCCTGAGTTTCGATTTCCCTGTATTCATTTATACACTTATTTTTTTGGTCCTGGAAATTCACCAGGGCCTTTGCACTGAGCTGCATCCCCAGTGTGTGTTTATTTTTGCTAACTACCACCCAGAGTGCTGCATTTACAGACACACACCACCACATCAGGCAAATTCCCCACAGACCTACTCTAGAGATTAAGCCTTATAATGAGGACGAGAGCCATTATACATATTGTGAAACACTAAAGAATGGTCACTTTTTAAATTCCCAAGCTCTTTTCAGGCCACTTAGGGCTGAATCTTAGATCTGCATGAAGACACAGACACACCCACTCACTCCCAAACGCATGTCTGGGCATAACTCTTCGGCAGGTGGTCCATACATGAGTGGCCACCCCACCCCATGATGTGGGCAGAGAAGGGGCTGCCCGGCCCCTACCTGGTGATGAAGGTACAGTCATGGATGAGGCTCTCGGCCAGGAGGATGCCTGCCTGCTCATCTCCCTCCACTGGGGCCCGATTGTGGTACCAGCGGATGTGGGTGTCGTTGCCCAGATAGCTGGCTGAGCACTGGAAGGGTAGCCGGTCGCCCTGGAACACCACTTGGCGCAGGGAGGGGATGAGGTGGTGGGTGTGCAGCTCCAGGGCCCCCTCTGCGAGGAGTGGAGACATGGTAAGGTCTGAACTACATGCCTGCACACAAAAGGGCTCCCCTGGGCTTGATGGGCAGGAAAATAAGGAAAGGGGTCAAGAGAAAGTCTCTGGAGGTGACAGCAAACGACAGTAGCGGGCATATTTGGGGTGCAGAAGGGAGGTCCTTTTAAACCCACGTGTTATCCCAAGAGGATGCAACCAGATGGAGACATGACAGCACAGGCAGCCCTGAGAGAAGCCTAGAGAGGTAGATGCGGGGCTATGCTGTGGACAGCGGGAAGGAGGAAGATGCATCCACCACGGCCCCGCAGCATGCAGGCTGCACTGAGGACAGGGCCGGGGCTGGCTCACCGCAGCGGAGCTGATTCTCCTGCAGGCTGCCCAGAGTCCGGCCATGCAGGGCACCGGGATAGGCACACAGCGTGCGCTCAGACAGCTGCAGGGAGTGATTCCGGGCCCAGGGCAGCAGCCAGCCCAGATGGCAGTCACAGGTCAGGAACTCAGTGCCAAAGTCCCTGTGGGGTGGGCAGATGGGTCAGAGAGCAGAGCAGCAGGACCAGGGTATGACTGAGGTCAGCAGGGCCAGGAAGGCTGGTGTGGACAAGTGAGCACCCCCTCCTGGAGGCACCTCATGCTGCCTGCTCAGCGGGCTGCCATGGCTGCCTCCTGGGCAGGAGAAGATACTCACACAACCTTCAAGGCTGACAGCTCATCAAAGACCCCAGGTTGCAGGCTGGAGAAGATGTTTCCAGATATGTTCCTGCAGGGGGCGGGGAGGGGGTGCAGGGAGCTGGATTCAGGGCCATCCTGGATCAGGGGAGGGGAGGGTGGGCAGAGGGAAGGTGGGGACTGAGGGATCTGGTGCCGCCTGCCTCCTTCCCTCCCTTTGCCCCTTCACTCACAGCCTGACAAGCCTGGGGAGGCCTCGGAAGGTGTCAGAAGTGAGGCAGCCAATCCGGTTGTTTGAGAGATCTCTAGAGACAAACGCACACTCAATACTCGGGCGCCATGGTGGCACATGGTCTGTTCATGAGAGCCAAGCATGTGCACCTGGGGCATGCATGTGTTCAGAGAGGGTGGGGATCCAGTGCACTCAGTGAGCCCAGCAGGGGCTGGAGTGCTGAGAAACAGGCCTGAGGGGTGTGGGTGGTGATGAAGAGAGGCTCACAGGACCCAGGACTTTCTCCGGGGTTTAGAGGACCAGGGAGGTTGGGGGCAGTCATGTCACTCACAAGCGCTTCAGTTCCCCCAGGCCCAGGAAGGCTCCGGGCTGCACCACGCTGATCACGTTGTTCCTCAGGTCCCTGTAGAGGCAGGGAAAACTCAGCCGCAGGCATTGCCCTGTCTTGTCCCAGCAGGACACCCCCTTGTATTGCACCCCTCTAGGTCTCCCCAGCCTCTCTGACCATCATCAATGGGGCTGAGCCAGAAAATGTCAGATGTAGGCACCAAGAGATGGGGTAGGGAGCCCTCAGAGGAGGAGGGTGGGGGCCACAAAGGGTGGACAGAGCACCACATGCAGGGACACAGGCAGCCACTGTGTCCCACCAGTGCTCCACTTCTGAGCTGCCCAGGAACCCCAGTGCAGCTGCTGAGTCTTCTGTGAATGTGACAGTGACTGTGTCCCTGTGGCTCTCTCCATGGGTGAGAGGACACAGGAGGCAGCAGGTAGAGAATTGATGGCCTCTGCCCAGTCCACACTTCAGGGCAGGGTTGCCTCTTGTCTGCAGGAGCGCCCTGGGCTAACAGGCCTGGCTCAGGTCCTCCGTTCTGTCTCTGCCACAGAAGTTGGCTTGGGCAGGACAGGAGGAGGCTGGGACCAAACCCCACCCTGCCTGGGACAGGGATGGCAGGATCCCCAGGATGACCTTGTGTTCTGTTGAGGCCAGAGTGCAACTCTGTCAGGCTGCAGGTGGCTCCACCCTCTGGGGACCCGTGGCACCTGCACCTGTCCCAGCAAGCCTGGGGACGGCTGGTGGGACCCACAGAGACTAAGACGGATGCTGGACCACCGTCTTCTTTCCCTCAGCCCATTCTCCATGCCAGTCACACCCAGGGAGAGAGCTGCCTAGAGGGCTGGGGTCCACACCCACCAATTCACAGGACACCAGACCAGCCTGAGGCTCACAGAGCACTTCCCAGGCCTTGCTGCTCCAGTGACCCTGCCTGCCTGCGTCCCAGCATCCTCGCTCCCATCCCAGGGCCTGGGAGATCAGGGGCCAAAGGTGATTGTGGATGACTCCTGGAATGTTCCCTACCTTAGAGGGCCCACAGCAAGAACATAGGTTGGTTAGGAGTTGACAGAGGTGAGGGGTCTGGGCTCTGCAGATAAAGTCTGGGGACAGCTCTGGATATAAGCAGGAGGGGGTTAAGGGAGACAGGAGGTGGCCCAGGTAACCTGCTCAGCCCTTCCCACAGCCAGGGCTTGGCTGGCCTCCATGTGGCGCCCCAGATCTGCTTAAGGAGGAAAAGAGGCACAAGGTGCTCCCAGCGCTGGGCGCATGCAGGTCCCAGGACAACTGCCTGCTGGGGGCGTTGCCCTTCAACTCGCACCCCTTTGCTGTCAGCCCCCACCCTCCCTGCACGCCCCTCATAGGGATGCACCCCGCACCCTAGGCCCCTAGAGGGGTCTGGCCATTCTCAGGGCTCTGCCTGCCCACCCCCGCTCAGGGACAGCAGTGGGAAACACATTCCTCATGGTGTCACTTCCCTTCATGGGCTGCCAAGGGGCTGGGGCTGCCGCCTCCTGCTCCTTCCCACTCCAGCACTGTGTTTATTCTCATTTCCTCCCAGCCCCTTGGCGAGCCCCACCCACCTGCCCCCTGATGCACTGCAGATGGGAGCCAGGTGGCCTTAGGCCCAGGGCCTCTCCCTGCCCTCTATTTTCTTCGCTGGCTCTGGGGCCTCTAGGAGAGGGGTGAAGGCCATTCTTCCCCCGGGGTCCAGCTCCCCAGGCTGAGTTCTGACAGCCTCATGGGCCACTGGTAGGTGACACCTCCTGGTGTCTCAGTCAGGTAAGCAGCTCGGGCCTCACACCCCCTGGACAGGAAGCAATTCAGCTACAGAACTTGGACACTTTGGGTCTGCAAGGTGCTACTGACTGGTGGTTCCGAGGCCCTCTTGCTTAGCACCTGAATAAGATCATGGACTCCTGTCCTAGAAAAATGGGCTAAACTCGACAGCATGCAGGGGTTCATGGGCACGTGGAACCCAGGTTAACAACACTTGCCTGGATTATTTAAGCTGATCCCCTTCTCTCTCTTTGTCTCTGTCTCTCTCTGTCTCTGTCTCTCTCTCTCTCTCTCTCTCTCTCTCTCTCTCTCTCTCTCTCTCTGTCTGTCTCTCTCTCAAATGAACCTTCACGTTGAGCAGTATCTCCAGGCCTTGTATTTTGTATTTTGACACAGGTCTCGGCCAAGTCTTTAGATTGCCCAGTCTAGGTCAAACTTTCAGTCTTCCTGCCTCAGCCTCCCACAGAGCTGGATTACAAGTGTGCACCACCACGCCTGGCTGATACCCTGTTAGGAGGCACCAAGGACACAGATTTGCTTCTGCGGAATCTGTTCCTGGAACCTGGTAGAGATTCGGTGCATCAAGCCTCCCTCTCCCCAGCTATCCACCCGGGGACTGCATGTCCTACCTCTGACCACAGGCACAAACCCCACTCCTCAAGCTATGCCACAGCACCAAGGCAGACAGGGACCCCCAGGTGGAAGTGAGGAGGGTTCCTGGGAGCAACTGCACATTCTGTCCTGAGTATGTAAGAGTGAGCGTGAACACAGCAATAAGAGACAAAGTTGGTGAGTTGGATGTAAGAATTTTAAACCAGCTGTGGTGGTGCACCCCTGTAATGCCAGCATGCCAGAGGCTGAGGCAGGAGGATCACCCAGTTTGATGCCAGCCTAGGCTACCTAGAGAGACTTTGTCTCAAAATCAAAAAACAAAACAAAGATCCTGTTTCAAAATAAATTTTAGGGGCTAGGGATTTAGCTCAGTGGCATAAGCACCAACCTGGCAATCATGAGTTCAATTCCCAGTAAAATAAATAAATAAATTTATTTATTTATTTATTTTAAAAGGGCTGGAGAATGTAGTTCTGTGTGAAGGTCCTGGGTTCAATCCCTAGTACCATAAAATAAACTTTTGTATCTTAAAGGCCACCTTCCACGAAGTAAAATCATGCATGTATCAACTCCTTATGATGAATGTACTCATTATGTACTGCAAACTAATAAACATAACTTTTTTAAAAAGAAAGAAAATCAGCTGAGCAGGGTGGTGCATGCCTGTAATTCCAGCACTTGGGAGGCTGAGGCAAGAGAATCATTGTGAGTTCCAGACCAGCCTGAGCTATACAGCAAACTCAAGATCACCCTGAACTATACAGCAAAACCCGTCTCCAAAGGGGAAATATATATATATATATATATATATATATATATATGTATGTATTTGCAATTCTACAACTTGATGATGACAATCTAGCTGAAAAAATGGGTAAATTATTTGAATATCTCATTTCTCCAACGAAGTCTACAGAGGCGCAACTATGCGGAGGCTGAGGCTAACAAACTTCTGGAGCCCAGGACTTTGAAACCAGACTGTACAACATATCAAGACCCCAACTCCCGTTAACGGCCAATAAACCTCCCAAAAGATGTTTGACGTCATTAATCATAAAGGAACTTCAAATAAGAATCACAAAGATTCCCCACCACTTTGTATTACAAAGATGACTATAATTTTAAAAAAGACAGACAAGACCTGGGTATGGTGGCACACACCTGAAAACCCAGAATTTAGGAGGCTGAGGGGAAGGATTGTGAGTTCACAGACGGCCTGGGTTACATAGCAAGTTCAAGGTCAGCCTAGACTATATAGTGAGATCTTGTCTCAAAAAATATATATATATTTTTAAAATACAGACAATATCAGGTGCTAGTGAGGACATTAAAAAAGTGGAACTCTAACTATTATTGGTAAGAGTGTAAAATAGTACAGTCACTCAGGGGCTGGAGGTTTAGCTCAGCGGCATAAGCACCTGCCTTGCAAGCAGGCAGTTGTGAGTTCGATCCCTGGTACCGATAAAAAGGAAAAAGACAAAAAAAAAAAAAAAAAAAAAAAAAAATAGCACGGCCACTTTGGAAAACAACACAGCATTTAGAGTTAATTAACATAAAACCCAGCAATTCCATTTCCTAGGTTCACACCCAAGAGAGCAAAGCAACCCACACATGCAGGGTAGGCTGAGGCCGTCAGTGACGGTCCCAGAAGCTCAGCCCCTGATGAAGAGATAGGCAAGTAGTATATTCATCCAATGGAACATTATTGCCACCACAAAGCACAAAGCTCTGGTACACACTAAGATGTGGATTAACCTGGAAGATGTTACACTGGGTAAGAGACACCAGTAATAAAAGATTACATAGTCCATGACTCCATTCCTGTGGCATGGCCATAATAAGCAAATGTACAGAGGCGGAAAGTAGATGAGTGGCTACCCAGGGCCGGGCAGGAGGGGCGGAGGACGGGGAGTGATGGCTAATTAGTCACGGTTCCCTGGTGGATGATGAAAAGTTCTAAAATTAGATCATGGTGATGATCACACAGTTCTGTAAAATGCACTAAAATCAATGGACTGTGGGCTTTAAATGGGTGGATTTGATGGTGCATAAATTAGATCTTCTTATAGCTGTTAAGAGCGCGAGAGCAGGTGTGACAACGCGTGTGCCTGTGTCTCCACGGCCAGGCAGGGTAGGATGGCACCACTCGGGCCCCCTCAGCCCCCACAGACCTCCCTGCTTGTGGGTTTGAAAACCAAAATATAGGCTTGGAGCCGACAGCAGCTTGCCCTGGGCCCTACAAGACTTCCAGGGTTGATTAGAAAGGGAGACAGGCTCTGATGAGGGCCAGGGCACCCTTTCAGGTATGGAGGCTGCTGGGGGAGCAGGAGGAGAGGTTCTAGAGTGCCAAAGACCCCACCGAGGCCCAGCGCCCTCCCACACCCCATCTCCCAGGCCCTTCAGTCTCTGAGATCTCCCTGCACAGGTTTTATTTAGCATATACGCTGTGCTGGGTACAGGAGCCACCATGGCAAGCAGGAGGGCGAGGGCTGTCCCCTGTCCCCGCCCTCCGCTTCCCTTCGCAGCATACTCGTTCCTAGTGTGGCAGGACAGAGCTCCAGGCCTCCTGGCCGGCCCAGCCCCCAGATTAATGGAAACCACCTGGCACGTGAAGGGGGGCTGCCGCTCCAGCCCCAACTCCTCCAGCCCCAACTCCTCGTTCCCATGAGCATCTGCTTCTAATGAGCGCCCAGCACTGCTGCATACCAGCCCCAGGGCTCATTAATCTCATTAGGCAATGACAAATCATCCAGGGTTTGAGCAGGCCCCTCCCAGACCCGTCCTCCAGGCTCAGAGAGCTGAGCCTCAGCTGGCCTGGCCACATCCACACAGACCTGAAATCTGATGCGCCTCTCTGTGGCCTCCCTGGTCTGTGGTAGGGCCCTCATACTGTGACAGGACACCCTCAGAGCCCCCTGAAGAGTCTGGTGGCCTGCTGCCTGCGTGGTGGAGGGTCTGGACAGAAGAGCAAGGAGTGAGCCACCTGCCCTTGGGTGCACTCATGATTCCGCGGGCCCTGGCTGGGTGGGAGTACACTTGCTCAGCAAGTGGGGGGTGCTGGGTTCCATCCTCAGCCTGGCCAAGGAAAAGACACCAGAATTTCTTGCCCAGCCAGTGTGGGGCTGCCAGGGCGGTCTAGCCCACAGAGGCTTCTGCAGTGGGGAAGGGGAAGCCCTTTACTGAAGGTGCATGCTGTGCTATCCGGGGAGATCCCCCAGGCAGAGAACAGCCTGTCTGAGAGGCAGCCCAGCCCTGCTTTCCAGGTGAGCACCCCAAGGTGAGGAGCAAAAGCTGGCCTCAGTCCCAGGCTTTCTACACAGCCCTGGATGACACAAGCTAGGCCAGGTTGAGGGATGGCAGGACAAAGACCTCATGAAGTCTGGGCTCCTCCACATGCCCATGGTGCCGGCCAAGAGCTGCCCCCGCTGGCCCTGTTTTGGGATCTCTGGTAAAGGTGGTCCCCTGGCTCCTCTGCCAGCTTGCTAGAGACCCTCCAGACACATCTCTACTCTGCAGCACTGTCTCCCTTCCCCTGTCCTCCCTATCCACACTCACACAGGCGTCACCTGCTACCTACTTGAATCCTCAGTCCTGGCCCTGCACTGCAAAATAGACATCGTGGCCAAGCATGGTGGAGCATACCTGGGAGGCAGAGGCCGAAGGATCACAAGTTCACACTCAGCCCGGATAACTCAGCGACTCAGCCAAGGCCCTGGGTTCAACCCCCAGCATCACAAAAAGCACAACACAGCACAACAGACAGTAGGCAGCAGATCTCCTCCCTACCACTGGCCAGCAAGGAGACCCCCTACACACGACTGACACAACCCATGTTCAAAGGCCGGGCTCTCAGGAGGAGCGACCGGACCTGCCATTCTCTCCTCGGTCTGATCGCAGCCTCCCACGAGCTGCTCACAGACAGTGCGGCATTAAGTTGCCCTGGCCTCAGTGCCCAGTGGAGACAGCTGAGTCCAGCTGGACAGAGGACTCACTGTGTCCTGGGCCCAGCCCATGCCAGCCCGTGCGTCACGTCCGAGATGAATAGGCCCACAGTCTCGGGGTCATCTGCCCCACAGTCTCCCAGCCCCTGAGCATGAGAGTCGTCCGCATACCATGCGGAAGTTTCCCAGGCCCCCTCGACCTGACCCAGGGACTTGGCCTCCGCAGGAGTGGGGTGCAGGTTGTATCTCATTTCGGGCCCCCTCCCCACCCGGCAGTGGTCTGACAGTTTGTCTTATTACTGATTTGATCTTGACTCCAGCGCTAGTCCATCTGGGCAGTCCCTGCCACTTTCAGAGAGTGAAGCAAGAGGATCACAGGGAGCTCAGGAGTTCGAAGCCAGTCTGGGTAACACCACAAGGCCCAGACTCAAAACACAAAGCAAAGCAAAGCATACTGTTCTAGATGCTGCTGGGGAGGTTTTGTAGATGCAGAAATATCTATCATCATCAGTTGATTTAAGGGAAAGATGACCCTTAACAACATGAGTGGATCTTATCCAACCAAAGAAGGCCTCAGGAGGGAAAACTGAGTCTTCCTGGAGAAGAAACTCTACCTTGAGGTGGAAGCATCAAGTCCTGCCTGACCTTCCGGCTGATGGGCTCTGGACTCCATTCTACTCCCGAGTCATACTAGAACCTTTCTTCCCTTTCCTCCCTCCTTTCTTGATCCTCTTTCCTTCCCTCCCTGTCTTCTTTTCTTCCTTGTCTCCTTCCCTCCTTTGTCTCTTCTTTGAGATAGGCTCTCTGGCCCACGTTGGCTTCAAACTCTTTTTTTTGGTACTGGAATTGTCCTCAGGACCTTGCACTTGCCAGGCAGGCATTTATGCCACTGAGCTAAATCCCCAGCCCCTGGCCTCAAATTCTTGAGCTCAAGCAATCTTCCTGCACAACACAAACTCCAGGGTGGCTGGGACTCAAGTCTGCCCTGTCCTCCTGTGTCCTCACTTGGCCTTCCCAGCACTCTGCACTCTAGGCTTTGGGAAGTTGTTCTCTACATGGTCCATGCTGGAGCTGAGTGCAGTTTCCTCTCTCCTCCATCCCTTCTGGCCTGATCAGTCCTTCCTGCCTCTCACCACATAGATCAGAACCTGCTCCCCTTGCTTCCCACCCCAGCCCTGCTTTGTTTTTTCTGTGCATCTGTCTCCCCACACATGACGCATGGCTTTGCCACCTCCTGGGGCTGCAGGAGAAGGTGAGTATCGGGGAGGCTCTCCCTCCCTCCGCTGTGTTCATCCTTAGGCGCCAGCAGGGGAGCCTGGCATAGGGAGGGGCTCTGCAGCCATCTGAAAAGGAACGAATGCAATGATTCATAGCCAGGTAGGTGCAGAATATTTTTTTTTTCAGTACTAGAGATCAAAATGAGATACGCTTTACCAGTGAGCTTCAGCGTTTTTAAAATTTTGAAAAAAATTTATTTTGAGACAGGGTCTCACCATGCCCAGGATGGATTAAACCGGCCATCCTCCTCCCTCTGCCTTGGGACCTGGGATTACAGGTGTGCACTGTGCCTAGCTGTGGTGCCTTTTCTCATGCCCATATTCCTCCCACAGCCTGGGCTCTGCGCTGACCCAGATGCCATCTCTGTGTCTCTGTCCTGTTCCTGGTCCCTTCCATGCCTTCAAGACACCTGCCGTGGGGCCTCCCTCCAGCCCAGTGTGGATTCAGTGCCTTTGCACCAGCTGGAAGGAGAGACCCATATTGTTGCCTTCCTCAGGAAATACAGAGTCAAAGAGGCAGAGACTGATGAGGGCAGGGCAGCGCGGAGAAGAGCCGAGAGCGGCGCTCACGAGGCAGAGAAGGCACAGTGCTGCTGGCAACCTGCCTGCCGGGGCAGGGGAAAGGCAGGAGGGCCACCACCCCCTAGAAGGCCACGGGCAGCATTCGGTTTCCAGGCCCTCAATGTGCACTCTGGGGACCCAGGCCCCCGTGGAGAGCCCTGCGCCCTACGTCACTGCTGTGTCGGGGCTGCCCTCGCTTCTTGTGGGCCGCTGGCTCTGTGCGCGGCAGAGTCCGGAGAGGCCCTGGGCTGAGCTATGTGTTCGCGTCACCCCCATCTACGAGACCCCCTGACACCGCCTGCCCGTTCCCACGTGGGGCCCAGAGACTTGGGCAGAGGCTTCTCCCTCCACTGGGGAACGGTGGAACAGCTCCAGTGACGTCTCCGGTAGCGCCTTAGGGCACGGGAGGGGTCGAGAGCCCCGGAGAGGAGTTGGCGCAGCCGGGCAGGGGGGATCGCAGGGAGCCAGGGGGGATCGCAGGGAGCCAGGGGCTCAGCGAGTGGGGAGAGGCAGGAGCCAGGCTCCAGGGGAGGTGAGCCGGCCTCTTCTGAGTTGGAGCCTCGGTGCGGGCCGTTGATCCGGGAGCCGTGGAACTGGGAGTTCGCAGGCAGAGCCCCTCGGGTGCCTGGCTGGGTGCCTTGCCCCCTCCCCGGGGTCCTGCACCCTTGCAAACACTTTGATCCTCTGTGTTGATCTCTGTCTCCCACCAACCCACCTCCGCCGGACCCGCGGCGACCTCCGCACCTCCCCGCCTCGAGGGCTGGAGAGAGGGGCCCGGGTGGGACCCGAGGACCCCGCAGACAGCCCGGCCCGACAGCAGCGGAGCGGGGGAGGGGCGTCGGCCAGGATCACCGCGCCCGCTCCAGGCTTTGTTTGTTGATTTGTTTTCCCAGAAAGACAACAGAGGCTTGGGCCGTATTAGCCCCCCGCGGCCGTTCCCGCTGCGCGCCCCGCGGCGAAGAGGCGGCAGCTAAAGGCGCAGCGCTCCCGCCGCCGCTCGTTAGGGCGCGTTAATGAGGCCCCGCCCGGCCCCCGCCCGGCCCCCGCCCGGCCCCGCCGCCCGCCCGCCCGCACTCACAGCTTCTCCAGCAGCGCCAGTCCCAGGAAGGAGCCGTTGCGCAGCGCGGCGATCTTGTTGTTGCTCAGGAGGCTGAGGGTGGAAGACACGGGCGGAGCCGCCGTTAGACTCGGGGGTGCGGACCGAGCTCGGGCTCCACCCGTCCCGGGTCCCCCCAGCCTGGCTGTGACTTGGGGCTCCCAAGTCAGCAGCCCTGTTCTACCCGGGGACCGCAGGGCCGGGAGCCCCCCGGGGGGCAGAGGTGGTGGGCAGCTGCCCCCCGCGGCCCCTGCGGCCCCCAAGCAGGTGGCCCGATTCACAGGGCCTGAGCGCCCCGCGCCGTGCAGGCGACGCACCCCAGTGGGTACGTCTCTGGAAAGCCCCAGAGCTCGGGTCTGGGTTGGTGAGGTCTCAGCCCCGCACTGCCCGGTCCGTGCTCGGATCGTGTCTGGGAGGCAGAGGGCCGGGCCGGTCTGCGTCCTACCGCTCGGCCTTTCCCTGCCAGGCTCCCTGCTGGGGTCGAGCATCCAGACCTGGCCAAGGGCTCGACCCTTAATTGCTCATTCGAGAGCTTTAATGAGCCTCTTGGACGAACTCTAGGCGACCAGACTGGGGCGCAGCGGTCCCTTCCCTGATCCGCTGTTGCGGAGAGGGGGTGGGAAGGCTGCAGTGCCCTCTCTATAGGGTGGGCAGCCGTGGGCTGGCCAGTGAGAGAGGAGAGCGCAGGCGTGGGGACGGACAGGGAGACCTGCGCTCAGCTTCCCGGAAGGAGCAGCAGATATACGCAGCAAGGGCCCCGACGCTTGAGGTTCATTTTGTGTGTGTGGTAGCCGTGGGTACTGGGGCTTAAACCCAGGGCCTCTGCACTGAGCTACATCCCAGACCCTTTTTTGTTTTGAGATAGTATCTCTTTAACTGGTTCAGTTGCTCAGGTTGGGCTGGCACTTTAGATCTTCTTGCTTCAACCACCCAGAGTGGTGGGATTATAAGCATGCGTCACCACTCACAACTGTGTCTTTTTTTTTTTTTTTAATATGCTATTTAGGATCAAACCCAGGGTTCTGTGCCTGCTGGGTAAGTGCTCTCTACCACTGGGTTACATCTCCAGCCCCTGCTCCATTGGCAACAGGCTGCTGGAAGGCAGCGCTCCATGACGGCAGGTGCTGAGGGGCCTTTGGGGTCAGTGGGAAGGGTGGACGACCTGTCTGTGTGCTTTCTCCCCTTCCGACAGGCCCCACCCGGTCACTGCCTGGGGTCCCTGCCATGGGGACATTTCCAGGATGTCCCCAATAACGACGAAGAGGGAATGCTAGGTTTCCAAAAAGCTTCATGCACATAACTTTTTTCTCTCCTTTAGTTTTTTGGTTTGTTTCTGTTTTGAGGTAGGGTCTCAATGAGTACTTCAGGCTGGCCTTGACAAACTCACTATGTACCCCAGGATGACCTCAAACTGGTGGAGCTCCTCCTGCCTCAGCCTCCCGAGTGCTGGGCTTTAATGTGTGTGTGTCACCACGCCTAGTTTAACATTTTAATATTTTGAAAACTACATTGGAGGGCTGGGGCTGTAGTCCAGTAGTATTGAGTGTGTTTAGCATGTTTGAGGTCCTGAGTTCCATCCCCAACAGCACAAAAGAACCCATCAAAAACCAAAAAGTATCAAGTTGGGTATGGTGGCACACACCTGTAATCCCAGCACTGAAGAGGCTGAGGCAGGACAGCTGTTGCAAATTCAAAACCAGCCTGTGCTACAAAGTGAACTCAAGGCCAGCCTGAACTGCATTGCAAGACCTTGTCTCAAAAAGGTAAAACAAAAGAAGCACCCAAAAGCATCTCACACTAGACACTACTGAAAAACTAGAGCTTTCATGAGTGCCATTACCTTCATTATATAGATTAAAATCACTTTATTTTGCACTATGCACCCAGTGGGACTAGTGGCAAACCACAGTTCTGTCAGCTCCCAGGGCCTCTGCCTTTCTCCTTAGCCCCCCAGAGGCTCTTGATGGTGCGAACTACATCTTCAGTCAAAGCCCGCCTCAGCCCTGGACCAGTTTCTTCCTTTCGTGGACCCCAGGGTTTTTGCCAAGGATCTGCAAAGTCAAGCGGATCCTCAGTCCCCTTGAGAGCACAAGGAAAGAATCTCTGATGTCCATTCCAGACTCCCCCACCCTGGGGCCTCTCCCAAAGACTGTTCCCTCCCCAGGTGAGGGAGAAAGATCAGAAGGCTTGGGGGTGTCCTGCAGAAAGAAGAGGGCTCCCCCAGTCACCACGCAGTGTCTACTGGGCAAGTGGGAGAAAATGACTTCTCAGGGTTGAAAAGTATATGGACCTGTTGGAGAGGAAAAAAGTTTGATTTCCTGAGAATATGTCTAGGATGTCAGTTTGGAAAACACTCACTTTAAAAATAGTCAGGAGTGGGGACACATGGAAGGCTGAGGCAGGAGGATCACAAATTTGAGTGCAGCTTGTTCAACTAAATGACTTGGACTTTGTCTCAAAACAAAAATTTAAAAAAGGGCTGATGTAGCTGAGCACAAAGTCCTGGATCCCATCCCTAATATCACAAATAGACACATCTTACACTATGAAAAGGCTTTCCATTAAAAATTATCTAAATTTCCTGTGAAAGTTTTTTATGTAAGATGTTTTTAAAATATATAATGTAAAAGGTAAAATCATGCTAGGTTGGTAGGGAAAAGGCAGAAGGGAAGCTTTTGCTTCTCGGGTGACAATAAATCTTAACCTGCCAGGTGTGTGGAGGGGATGGGCGGTAGGGGAAAGATGGGAGAGCGGTTTATTGCTGTTCACGAAAAAGCAATATAATACTTTGCCCTGAAAAAAAATATATATAAAATACTAGCCAGGCGCAGTAGCACACACATGCCTGTAATCCCAGCCACTTAGCAGGCTGAGACCAAAGGTTCACAAATTCAAAACCAGTACAAGCAACTTATCAAGACCCTGTGTCAAGATAAAAAAGACCAGGGATGGGGCTGAGCCATGGGCTCGATCCCCAGTACCACCAAAGAAAAGCCAGCCGGATGTCTAAGGAAAAGCTGGGATCCCAGTTTGAGGACCCTCTCCAGAAGAACCCAAGGAAGGTATCAAGGGGCCCCAACATTTCCCAGATCCCCAGCCACTGGCCCCAGCCCCTTCCACATGCCCCCAAATCCTTAACTTAGAACAACACAAAACTATGAGTTGTATACATCATTTTAAATCTTCTGGGCTGGAGATTTAGCTCAGCAGCATAAGCACCTGCCTTGCAAGCAGGCAGTCGTAAGTTCAATCTCTGGTACCGATAAAAAAAAAAAGTTAAAAAAAAAATCTTCTAGTAGCTACATTTTAAAACATTTAAAAATCAAAAATAATTTTAATAATGTATTTTATCAAATCCAATGTATCCAAAATAGTATCATTTCAATATGTAATCAATATACAGTTTGTGTAGGTAAGTGTGTGTAGTGTTGGGGATTAAACCCAAGCACTTTACATCCCTAGCCTCATACAAAATTACTAATGAAGTTAGGCACACACCTGAAACCCTAGCTTCCGGGAGGCTGAGACAGGAGGATCTCAAATTTGAGCCCAGTCTGGGCAACTCAGCAGCTTAACAAGACTTTGTCTCAAAATTTAAAATTTGGAAAAAAAAAAAAAAGAGCTGAGGATACAGCTTAGTGTGAAGGCCTTGAGTTTAATCCTACATACAGAAACACATAGACAAATAGACACATATGCACATGCACACATACACCACACTGACTGTTCCTGTGTCGTATCTGGGCTGCTAGACACACATGACCTGAAAAAAAAATATATAAAATACTAGCCAGGCGCAGTAGCACACACATGCCTGTAATCCCAGCCACTTAGCAGGCTGAGACCAAAGGTTCACAAATTCAAAACCAGTACAAGCAACTTATCAAGACCCTGTGTCAAGATAAAAAAGACCAGGGATGGGGCTGAGCCATGGGCTCGATCCCCAGTACCACCAAAGAAAAGCCAGCCGGCTGAGCCCCCAGCAGCATCTGTGAGAACCAGGCCTTCCCAGACTCCAGGCCAGCCACACCTCAAGTGCAGAAGACCAGGAGTGGCCTGGGGAGGCCAGATGAGCTTGGGTGGAAAGGCTATCTCTGCAGGGCGCTGCCAGCCCCACCACACCCACTGCAACCCAGACTCCTGGGTGCCCCTTTGAGGAGAGAGTTGATGGGTGAGGGCCCTCACTCTTCATGGTTTGCCCATCTCCAGCCCCGAAGCCTCCCATGCAGCTTCCCTTGCTGCAGAGAGCACAGCCTGGACCCTCATCTGGTTCTCTAACCACCGCTAGCCTGCTAGCCAAGCGGCTGCAGGTACCCACATACTAGGGAGCTCATCTCCATCATCTGGAGAGGGTTTGCTTGCTGGTTCTGTTTGTAAGGGCATGGGTCTGGGGATTGTTAAATTTTTAAAAAATTTTGTCTGTCGTGCTGGAGCTGGGGTCTTCATGCTGAGCTACAGCCCTTATTTTATTTTTTATTTCTGCGACAAAGTCTCACTAAATTGTTCAGGCTGAACTTGAACTTGTGATCCTCCTGCCTCAGCCTCCCACAGTGCTGGTATCAGTTTTTTTTTGGTGTTGCTGGGATGGAACCCAGAGCCTTGCACCTACTAGGCAAGTGCTGTACTGCTGAGCAATACCCTGGCCCCTGGGGCTGGGGGTTCACAGGCAGGTGGGGCTCGAGCAGGCAGACCAGGGCTGTACTGGGTTAGCTGAACACATGCCCCACACAGCTTCATGCGGTGGGAAGAAAAGCGTTCCCACTATTTCAGGCTGTCTGGGGGAGGAAAACAGACCTTGAGGCCACAGCTGGGCAGGGAGGAGGGGGCTCTGGGCCCACAGTTCCACCAGCTGCTGGCTGTTGGGCTGTCAGGGATCTGGTGCCAGCTGGGCCACTTTATCCCCAGCAGATAGCTCCTCCGCCTCCCCAACCTCTCGCCCCACGCCTCCCAAGGAGCCAGCCAGGCGGTCCCCTCTCAACCACGAAGCTCACAGGGCACCTCCAGCGGCTTCCCTCTCCTCCTCTCCTCAGACCTCGAGCTTTCTAGGGGAAGAG